TGTAGATTCCCAACTTTGCAGTCATGGCAAACAAAAGAGCGACTCTGGACCCTTCAGTGAGTTTCACACCCGCATGAAATATTGCTTAAACACACTTGCTGAGGGTTTGTGTTTGTGTTGCAGCTGCTGTATCAGCAGAGACACACACTTCACCTCTGCTTTGACCCTGACTTTACCTCAGAGGATGTGTCTCTCTTTAACTAGATTTATCACAAATGATGCTGCACATAGACTTCCTCCCTGGAGAAACCGGTTTCCCATTCAGTTGGTTGTTTGGAATATTCCACCAACCCTCACGGTAGAGAGAAATATCAACTCTGAACAGTTAAAGCAACATAAACAGAGGTGGAGAGTAAATATCAGGACAGTGTGTAGTCACTCGTGCTTGTTTGAAACAGGATATGGTGGAATTTAATTTCTTCTTTTTCGGTTGGTGGTATTTTTCTGCTTTCACTCCTCACGTGGTTTATTTTGTTCTTCACAGCCAGGAGAAAAAAAACTTTCCTATCGTGCTCTTTATCATGTGCAGACATTAAATTCCTCTTCTACCTGTTGATCTAGTTTCTGTTAAAACAAAAACTGAGCTATTTCACTGCCTCTTCCAAACACGTTTCTAGTCCGTCCATCTGTTCAAATAATAACTTCAAGGATCACACACACACATACTTGAATGACAAAACATGCACACACCTTGTTGCCCACTTTGTCCAGATATATCTGGAACTTGTTCTCCACGTCTCTGGACAGGTTTGTGCAGCTGTTTCTTATCTTCTCCATCTGCTCCTTCTGGCTGTCACAGGTGAGGTGAAAGGTCAGCTGGTGCGGGAACAGGTCGTTGATGCGGTTCAGGAAATCCCTGGTGACCGCCGTGATCCCGTCCAAAGACCCGGCAAAGTCCTCTTTGCACTTCCTGGGAAGAGAATAATAAAAAGCACTTTAATCGTAGTATTTCCAGATACACGCAGCGAGCAGACACACACACACACACACACACACCAACACACATACCTTGTGTAGGTGGTGAGCTGCTCTTTCAGCATGGTGTTCTCCCTGCGCAGGCTGATGGCGTCCTGGTGGTGTGTGTCTCGGTCTTTGAGGGCATTGTCTCTCTCTTGGCTCAGGTACTGAACCGTCTGTGTGAAGTTTGCCTGGATGAGATTGATCATGGCTTTCTGCTGAGCATTGAGGCTCTGCATTGTTTTTAATTCACCTGGGGAGAAGAAGAGAACAACAGTGTTAATGCAGGAAACCTGTTATTCAATTTTCTGGCCTTATTAACACTGCCAGTTTCTAAAAGATCACAATTTAGGGTTTACAAGTTGTAAATAATGGCAATATTAATTGTTAATAAATAATTCAACAATATTTTGTAGATCAGCTGTAGAAGATTAATAAGAAAAACTTTACTTTTGAAAGTAAATTAATTAAAAGTTAATTTTTTTCTAATAAACCACTGATTTTTATTATAAATGTTAATAAGTCATTAATAAATAATGATAAAACAGCAAGAAATATTTTCCCAAACCTGAAACTCAAAAGCTTATTATTGTCTTATAGGTGATTTACAAACCATTAATAAATAAGATATTAAAAGTTATAAGAAGTTCTGGAGCTTTAGAGAGTTGTGTCTATATTCATTTTTATTTATCTGTATCTGAAACAGTTAGAGTCATTTTGCTAGGGCAACAAACATTATTATACTAATTTATGAAATACTGCCAGAAATACTTTGTCTCTCTAAGTATTAGTGTGGTGTTGGAGCACGTACTGCTGGTAGTGACAGGGACAGGGAACTGGATCGGAGGAGTGGGACGCCTCAACATGCTGAGTGTTGTTGAACTCATTTTCTCACAGGCAGCCTGTACATGAAAAAAGATGGAAAAACCTTATTCTTGATTTGTCACTTATAACTAAAACAATGGTGAGCCAAAGAAAACTGTTCAATAAAACCTTTTAACCTTGATTTTAGTTTTGAAGATTTCATAAGAGTGTTAAAAACTACTTGATAGTTTGTGACTTGCTGCTTCTCAGTAGTTTTGTCTTTGTCTAATCATCTACTCACCACTTTATTCTTGAGCTGATGTTCTGTGTTGTTGGCATCGGTCTTCAGCTTTGCCATCTCTTTCTCCAGAGCAGCTTTCTCGCCTGTGCGAGCTGCCAGCTGAGCTCCCAGCTCGCCCTTCTCCTTCCTCAGCTGGATGTTGTTCTCACTCAGCCTGTTGAAGTTCAGCTCCAGCTCCTTCAGAGGAACATTCAGATCACTCAGCATCATCACTTCACACAGTAAAGTGTCATTTGATTAAAAAGCTTGTAATTGATTGTAATATTTTCAAATGTATTTGTGATCTTTAATATTTAAGAAATAAAACTGAGACTTCTCTACTCGTATCTCTACAGATTTTCTGAAGAAGAAGAAACCACTGACCTCAACCCTCTTCTCCTCTGCAGACTTCTCTGGCTGTCCATAGATGAGGAAAAGCACCAGACTCACGATGATGAGAGACTGGATCAGGGAGGAAAAGAAGAAGACGATCCTCATGTAGTAGCCGCAGCTCTTTCCTCTGGACTTGTGCAGGGGCTCCCTTGCCTCCAGACCAAACTTGGCCTGGGAGTAGCTGGAGCTGTACATGGCTGTTGGAGGTGAAATGGTGGCAGCTGGGTATTCAGAAGATCTAAACAGGAATTATTGTGGTTGCAAAAACCCACAAGACTTCCCGATGATGTGTTCTTCCCTGCAGAACAGGAACAGTCTTCAAGATCAACGCTGTCAAACAGAAGAGGAAGAATCCTGACAGTCTCCTGCAGCTACACTGTCAGGGTGCGAAAGACATACAGCCAGAAATGGCACATAAAGATGGATGTAAACAATGACCCTCAGGTCTGCCAGGGGGCCATGTTTATAAATGCTGCTGGAGGCACACTTCCAGGCCATCCTGGCCCAGCCCTCACCTCCCCTCCCTCCCCTCCCCTCCCTCACTGACCTCTGTCACAGTTACAGCCTCCAAATCCTCCACAAGTTTTCCTACTGTGTGGAAAAATTAAGATTGATGTCATGGAGTAGTACTTTGTTACTGGTACATTTCTATCTCGCAATTTCAATACTTAAAGATAAAAAATGTTTAATTATAATTTCCACTTTTTCAAAGACATGCAGGTGAAGGTTTATTGGAGACTCTAAATTGTTTGTGTGTGAATGGTTGTTTGTCTCTGGTGGACCTGTCCTGGTTGTACCCATGGGTGTGTCCCACCTCAAACCCAACAAGGAGGGGGTATATATAATGGGTGGATATATTTATAATTAATCCTTCTCCCTCATTGAAAAAGCCAGAATCTTTAACATGGAATTATTGGAATTATTACAGAAGTTTGACTCTGCATCTGACAATAGACACATTGATTGTTATATCACATCTGGGCTTATTGATCATCCTTATAATGCTGCAATATTTGTGTGTCTGCTGTTAACTGAACAAAAACATGGGTCACATCATCAACTCAGAGAATTCACACGATGTAACTAGTCAAATAAAATGGATCATTTCTTAAGTTACAGTCTTGTGTGGCTCCACAACACTGAGATGTTGAGGAGGTACGGTAACAAAAAAGAGAGAATATGAGATTTAAAAAAAAAGACAACTTAAGATACAAATACAAAATGTGTCCGTGCAGCACCACACAGGGTTCCAGCACAGGAGCACTGGTTGACCTCTGGGTGTTGGGTATAGAACGAAGATCCAAAAAAATCTGTCACAGGAACATCTCAGAGGTTAATTGGATTTTTCAGCCCATAATAATAAATCTTAGTTTTAAGATGATCGTGTTGTTAATCTTAAAATTTTACTTGAAAAATATTTTGTTACTATAAACGTCACATAATTGGAGTAAAATGAAGAATACAGTAAAAATGATTGACCTCTGAATTGTGGCAGAGTAGAGGTACAACATAAAATTAAAAAGTAAAAACTCCAGTAAAGAACAAGTATTACAAAACTGTTGTAAAGTTCAGTACTTGAGTAAATGTACCTGGTTATTTTCCACTACAGTCTGCATGTGATAGAAACCAGGAAAGATCACCCGTGACTGCACATTTAAATATAGCTGCTACAGATTGTTATAGAATTCCAGATGAACAATGTAAACCATTTACGAAGTAAAAAGAAGAAAAAAAAAACCAACCAACCCCCCAAAAATTCCACCATATCCTGTTCCAAGCAGGCACGGAAAGGAGCCATGGCTGTGGAGGAGTGAAGGGATGAAAACAATAGGGACCTGTCTTCGTGGATGAGAGAATAACAAATTCTCCCTGCAGTACAGATGTAATGGATCCCCCCCTCGCACTGTTGTCCACACTGATGACGTGAGGAACAGTTTACTCTGCCTGGGGAAGGGTGTGAAAGGGGAAAGGTCCTCGGAGCCCAGGGTTTTCCTGCTCCCCATTGTCCCCGTGACAACCTGTCCTCACCGGAAAAAAAACTAATTTATGAAGGTATGTTAGAGTGACAGAAGATGAGTGACTATCAGGAGTCGGGACAGATGTCGGATCAACTTCTGGACAAAAACAGGAAACCTAATGAGTAGCCTGAGATAAAAACACCTCTTAGGTCCAAAGACCTTTAGGGTGACAGGAAAATATATAGTTAACATTGAAGTAATATTCGTGCGATAGGTGGATAAGAGATAAGATTTTCAACAATAGATGGAATAGCTGCTTAATCATTCTGTCATGTCGGGCTCTGGACTCAGCAAAATGAGTGACAGTGATGACTTAAGCAGAAAACGTACAAAATCACCTCAACACTGATCGACGCAAATGAATTATATAAAAACTGCCAATATAGAATATTGAATATCTACCCATGGATAAGAAACTCCTCCCTACTCCCACAGAGCACCAGTGTTCTGAAGAGGCATTTGAATTCAGAGGTTTTCTCTCGTGAGGGACTCTGCTGCCATCTCCTGACAAAACAGCAGCAAGCACAAACACACACTTCAACACGTACTGAATATCAACATGAAACATATGTCTTTTTTTAATATACAGGAACAGCTTCAAAAAGCTCATCTATACAATGTGTTTTAAGCGCAGCTAGAAGTGCGAGGGGCCTTTTTCACAATCAACCCGCTGAAGCCACAGAGATCCTGGTCAACGAAAAACGATTTAAATCAAATGAGGCCACATTTATATTACTGTACACACTTTCATTGTCTGTGTAACATACAGGAGTGACACATGAACACTTATTAAAAACAACCCTTTGTAAAATAAAACAAAATAGATTTTAAAAAAGGCAACAAAAGAAGGAAAACGACTAACGAACAAGGAGAAAGTTGTAGCCTCCATGACACATGATTACTTTAACGTTCCAAAAGACCTGCTGTGGAAAACTTTAACCGACACTGTAGTATGTTTGATTTCCTCTTTTAAGACAAACACAAGATCAGCGTGGTCTAAGATTTGAGGGAAAACAAACAGTAAGGGAGTATGTGTGATAAAGTTTTATGCTTTAACCGTTCTATTTTACTTTTTTATTCTTTCCTAATCTCTTTTTACTTGTATCCATCTCCCAGAGTCTCTAACATCCACTTTATCCCCAGGATTCCTTCAGAAAACTCAGTTTTTTTCCGCTAACAACCAGATCGTTTTATTATTTCCCAGCATAGAACAATAAATGACTCATTTACTGTAACACAAAGATAGTGTTGATAGTCACCTTTTTTAGAATTATTCCTCTGTCGCAGGAAATGGGAAACAGCCCTCAGTAATAAGTTGTATTTGGGAACCCCCCCCCCCCCCCAGGCCTTTTTCTGTTGAACTACAGTGCGTACATTTCACAGAGAAGCAGTGCTTTGTGAGTGCGTCTCGTTTTTAGACTGTTGCCTCAATGTCCTGGGGATCGTCCCCTTCGAGCAGACTGTACGATGCATGACTCTGGAAGGGTCTCTGTAAGGGGTGGGCCAGAAGTTTGGCCATGCAGTTGTGCAGCTCGATGGCAGGTCCGCTCAGGGAAACCTCAAAGCGATAACACACTCCCTTCGAGTCCAGGTTGCAGAAAGAGGTGTAGTTGTCCTGGAGACAGAAAATGCAAATTCACTGAGTGTCAAAGAAGAATAAATACACCTGGGAATTAATTAGATTGATCATATGGACAAGAAACATTTGACTAAGCTCTTCATGCCCTTTTTTACACCACTTACCACAAACAAGCAAATACAAAATAAAATGTGAAAATATTCTTTTTCCATGTAAACATATTAACATATTTAACAGGCAGACGCTTTAACCACAAGTACACATCAATCTCACCTATCATTCAATGCTCAATTCCACATTAATAATAAACTAGCTCTCAGACTAGAAAGACTTTAGTTTACACATTAACTTGACTAGATCCAGACATATGGCACAATGCATACAGGAACTAATAATTGTTTTTCTTCAGTCTGGCGATGTAGAGACATTTTCATGGAGACGTCACAAGACCCATCAAATCTGAATTTATGACATTTTAATACTTTTTAAGGTCTTTTATTTTAAAATTGGAATCAAAGACAGTTAAACACTGTGTAAGGACCCACGGTCACCCTGTTTAAATACAGTGCAGGACCAACAGGCAAGATGTTATATATTGTAATCTAATGAGACTTGATGAACTTAATCCAAACTACTGAATTGTGTCATGTCACTATTGTACACAAATAAAACCGACTCCAGCAGCTGTTCCACTCACCCTCCAGCTTGTCTCATCGCCCTGCTCCTCCACCCCGTTGTGTAGATATACCACATCAAAGAAAAAATATGGAGACTGTAGCATTTTCTGTAGCAGGACACAAGAACAAGCAAGAATGTCAGCGCTCAAAGCAGCCAACAGTAAAACAAATACTTTATCAGGGTAGGAAGCACAGATCAGTAGTGTTGTACTTACACTAACAGCCTCAGAAGGGTTGAACTGAAGCTGCCCTGCTTGTCGGCTGTAGATGAGCATGGTCCGCACCACAAAAGGTGGTGGGATGGTCTGAACATTCTCCATCAACGGAAGCTCAATCTTCTGCCGGCTAGAAAAAGAAGAGCAGAAGATATGACCCACGGTGAAGTAACTTTTCAGGTGTTTTATAAGACCAAGGTTTGTTTTCAGACAGTACTTACATTACATTAAGAAGATCCTCCAGGTCTATGGAAGATAGTTAAGGTTAAAACTTCGAAGAACTATAATTCCTTTACTGACCTTGTGTCCTATGCATCTTTGCATGGCATGAAATGTATTTGAATTGTTTAAGGATTAAAGGATACTGAAGGTCTCGCACACGTTAGTCTCCAGATCATAGAGACAGCTGCACAGCTCCCTGGGGTCAGAGGTGAAGCCTGACAACTACACAAGAAGAAACAGACAATAGAAATGGACAAACCAAAACAGAGGAGACATATTTCACATATACATCAGACAGACATTACATGAAACATCTGGAAGAGATTAAAGAGCTCCAGGACTCACCCATAGGGCATCGTCATTGACAACAACCAGGGCAAACTCATGCCTTTTGTCGATCTTGTGTTTAGTTCTGACAAACATCTCAATCATCTTCTGACATACGTTCAGGGCATTTGTTTTAGACCTAAATGGAAAGTCAGTAAAATTAGGCAGTGGTGACAAAACATGAAGACTGTGAAATATTAACTTATATTAACCTACCCATTAAAAGATTCTAGCTTCGGCAATGACATCTCCTCAGAAAGGTCTAAGCAGATAATCTGATACAAGGAAGACAGCACAGGACAAAATAAACTTCAAGCTGAGTAAAAGTTTTAAAATGATGTGGAGAATCATATATCAGAACAGTAGCTTGGGCCTACCACTTTCTCTGGGCAGTTGACACGGGGGACACGGAGCTGGTACTCTGCTGGTGGAGGGACAGAGGTTGTCAGCGTGGGCTGCTGCTGTGTGGGCTTCGGCCTCTCTTTTGCTGCAACAGTAGCAGTAGACAGGGGCACAGCTGCACCGGCTGCAGCCACCACTGCAGCTGCAGGAGGAACTACAGTCTGAGCTGCAGCTGTTGAGACAGTCGTGGTGGTAGAACTCGGAGGACTGTCGCTGGTCGAAGCCTCCCCCTCCCCCTCCACCCGACTCCCCACCGCAGGCTGGGAAATGTTTGGGTTACTGTTACCGCCCAGGCTGCCTGTGCTGCTGCGGCGGTCCTCAGCACCTTCAGGGTTGGAGCGTGTCCGAGGTCGCAGCTCTACCAGACGCTCCTCTCCATCTGCTGGCCCAGGCTCTGGTGTCTCCATGGATACAGAGGTTACTAAGGAAGTGGAGATGATGAATCAACAGTATTGGTTTCTTAGGTTTGTGACATCACAAACCCTGGCTGTCTAAATTCATGTGTCTTGTGAAAAATTTACTTATTATAAGTCGCTTTGGACTAAAGCGTCTGCTAAGTGCCCTAAATGTAAATGTGTTTTTCAGATTGGCATTTGTTTTATTACACAGAAAACACGTTATTGATATATGAAATGGCACGGGGGGCACTGTAGGCTGAACCAAATACAGCTTACAGTTAAATACCAGTCACAGTACAAAGTATAAAAGTAAGGTTTTAAATTCTAAATCTAATCAGGAGCTCGATTTGAACTGCAACACACATGACATGATCACAATGAAGCTGCAGGAATGACGTCAACACACTGAGTCCACGCAAAGTTCATTATCGCACTTGTATGAACCTGCTACTAAAGGTAACGCTACAGAATAGAGATGCGATTCACAATGCGGGTACTTAGCGTAGGAAGCTACGCATTAATAGAAGAGAAGTTCGCATAGACACTGACAGTGAGGCCACAAGCTAACAAACATTCATTACATCTGGTGGAGCAGAGAGATGTTAGTGACAGTAGCATCTGAGCTCATAGCATTAGCATTAGTTAGCTGTACTTCAAAATACGTCGAAGCAGACGATTTGTGACGTGTGAAGCGTGTTGGGTTTGAATGAAGATCGCAGACTTACGTTAACAACAGGGAGCAGCAAACTATTAGAACTTAATTAACGGGAAACTCATTGAAAGTCGCAAAATATTTCTACGATGGGCTAACAACTGTTTTGAACGGACGACTTCCTAACCGGAAATGACCGAACCCGGAACTACGCAGTCTGGTGGGCTTGTGGGTAATGGAGTTTAAAGGGGTAGCAACTCGCAATACTCCTGATTTCCCTCCTCTGCAATATTGAAATATCGTTTATTATTACTACATCAAGGGATTAATTACAGTATAAAATACAATAAAACATTAACAACACTTAAAAAAAATAGCTGCTTGTAATCAGACATGGTTTTGTAAAGAAAGATCTGCTCCAGATTGGTTTTAAGAAAAGGTGAAGTAATGATTAATAATGATTTACAGCACACGGACAGATGAGAAATATCATACTCAAACACTCCAGTGTTTATTGTCATAATTATTAGTTTAATAATAATCATGATCATAAATTTAATTCCCACAGCAACATGTTTCTAAAGACATTACATATAGATTTTATATTTAGCATTTAGCAGGATGTCCAGAGTTCACAGCATCAGCCATAGTCTGCCACTGAAACAACATGGAAGCCAAAACAGGAAAGGACACTGCGTGACAGGGAATGGGTGGGGATGATTTTCTAAGTGTTTTCCACTTACTTCATTGATCACACGAGACGAGCAGACGTGCAGAAAGCAGACCTTCGCACGACTGACTATTGGAAAATGTAATTACAGCAGAACAACCTGTCAGAACAGAGGACCCCTTCACTGTGTCTTATGTCTCATTGTTGTCAGTGAAAAACAACAAGAGCAAAACCACTGCTGCTGGGATCAAGATCGAGAAGCATGGAGGTAAGTTACGTGTCTGTGTTTACCTTGAAAATATGCCATTTAAACATCTGGAATGTTGTGTTGCATGATCTGTAAAGTAAAGCTGACAAACAGTCAGGTTTTGTACAGAAGTTCAAATAAAGATAAAGCCACAATGTGTCCCGATGCAATACAAAACAGAATTCTACCACTTAAAGCTTTTCAGACTGGTGTGAGTTAGCAGCAGGGTTTTTGATGAGTGGTATTACTGACCGAGTGGTACCAGAGTAGATTCATCACATGGTCTGTAAGAAAATTTGTATGCAACGGTGTGTATTCGAGGTGCTTTTCTTTTTGCCCAGCGCACACTACAATAAGCTGTTAACAATAATAAGACTGTTTAAATGTATGTGTTAAATGATATTTATGGTTTTATAGCATAAACATTTTGTTCTGGTTCTGGTTTTGTTTCTTTTTTTTTTTTTTTAAGTAGTGGACATTTCTCCAAAACAAAAGATGATTTGGTCCACAAATATTTGCAAAGCAGGAAGTTGGATCTCAGGATGTTTTAGTTTCCCCCCCTTTCCGCTGCTCAAAACAATAGCTGCTAAACAGCACAGCAACAATGTCTGGTCCAAGAGCATTACAGACTGTTCATGTGAATACAGTCTGAGGAATTTCCTTAAGTTTAATCATGAGCCACTCTTTCCTGGATGATCGCACACAGGCAGTAAGTAATCCTATGAGTAGAACTGTTTAAAAATGAACTGCTAAAAACAGATTACTTTGATTGATCTAAAAAGTTATTCTCACACCCTGCAGGACTCCAGCCTGGTCAGATGTGACAGTCTGGATGCTGGGTCAGGGTGTAACAGGGAGGTGATTGACCACATGACCTTTGACGTCGAGGGCTCTGACCCCACAGCAAACCTTGAGCCCTCACCAGCAGAACTGGCTCAGTGTGAGGCTGAAGTGGGGACGCTGCTCAGCATCATCGCTGAACTGAACAAGAAGATGGGGTCACTGAAGCCCCCAAGGTAACATTAATGGAGTGTCTGATGAGATGTGAGAAAAGCTTGTAGCCTAGGAGGGTTTGATTAATAAAAACGGTTTCTACTCTTCCTCTGCAGTGAACCAAGGGACCTGAGACCACCAGGACCATCCAGGCCTTTGGTTCCTGACCTTCTGTCACACAGGCTCGTCAGAAGAAGCCCAGAGACACAAACTGCTTCTGCTGCCGTGTCTAAATCTCCACTGACTGACAGAGGTAGGCACCAGCACTGTGTAACCTTCCTTGTGTTCAGTAGACCTCATCCTTAAATCCTGTGCACCTGTACTATGGTGATATTACCTCCCACCAAACAAGACAAATGTACTGAAAATAAGTTTTACGTCCGAGATAACAACTAATGCATTTTTTAAAATATTCTCTCTAAGTCTGAAAGAAGAAAAAAATATAATCTTCGCTCTAAGTCTGTAAAGTACAATAAGTTATGTTTTTAAAAAAGCAAACACACAGTAAGATGAGAATGGCAAAAGATATTCTCATATTTCTGTATGAAAGAAAGATTTTATTCCTGTAAAAATATTAAACTGCCTCTCATTTTGTTTGGCTGCACATCTACTTTTCCTCCACTAGTGGGCACTGGTGTAGTCTGGACCCAGCTGCAGGAGGTGTTAGCTTCAGTGGAGGACTCCATCAGCTGTAGGAGAACCTGGGCCGCCCCCATAACCAGCTCTGACCACGAGAAGCACAAAGAGCATCTGAGAGCAGCTCAGGAGAGCTGGGTCAAAGCCACTCAGGTGCTGATACATCATGAATTACCTGTTTCAATTGCTGTCATTTCCTCTGAAATTAGGCCACATTATCTAAAAATGTTGCAAAAGCAACTTGATCCTGAGAATTATTCATTTTAGCCATTCGATAAAAAAAATCCAAAATTAGGTATTGCTGTGTCTAAATTGAATGGTTCATTTTAAAAGATAAATACACCAAAGTTCAGGTTCTCCTTAGACTCCCATCAGCCCCTTGAGTATCTTTGTTTCACTGTTTGCAGATATTAGAGGAGATGGAAAACGAGTTTGGGATATCATGCCCGTCTGTCTTACCAAAGGAGCTCTATCAGGGGGACATCCTGGATCTGGAGAAACACGGCTCTCCTCTCAGAAGCATCTTGCACAGTCACCAGGAGGAGCTGGGGAGAGCACAAAGCACCATCAGCCAGATGGAAGAGGAAAGGAACAAGGTGGGAATCACTCTGGTTTCAGTTTTCTTTATGACAAGGGTAAGGTTAAAAATGTAAAAAGAAAGAAAGAAAGAAAGATGAGATTGGAGGGTTTAGTCAGAGTGATGTAGACATCAGACAATGAGCCGTCCCACTTCTCTTGTCTTCCAGCTGATTAGTCTCCATAAGGCCTGGAGGTCAGGCAGCCGCTCTCCTTCCTACCGGCCCACAACTGGATCTCTCAGTCCAGACGTGGGCTCTCCTCCCTTCCCTGGTTCTCCTTTACTGCGCAGAAGAACATCCAGAGGTCTAACACCTCTGTCTGCTGCTGGAGACGGCTCTCCGCTGGGCTCTGTCACCTCAGGCAGCCCCTGTCCCAGCCCCATCGGTCTGGAGACCGAGACAGAGCGACTGAACAGGTGAGTGTGAGGAGGAGCAGCCCGGGATGTTTCTTGATGCTGTTGAGACTGCACCATGTTTTTTAAATACTATATTTATAAAAAACATCAAATAACCTGAGATACTGAAGAGGTACTTACACATAAAGTATGCAGAGTAGATTTAAAGCCTGATACAAAACATTAAGTAACAACATGGCGGTGGTCAGCACTTCAAATTAAGAAGGTTCTTTGAATCCTGGTTTGGCCGCAGCCTCTCTGTGTGGAGTTTGCTCTGGCTTCCTCCCACAGTCTAAAGACGTAGACTGGGATTAGGTTAATTGGAGACTCTAAATTGACTGTGGGTATCAATGTGAGTGTGAATGGTGATTTGTCTCTGTCCTGCAATATGCTGGCAACCTGTCCAGGATATACGCCGCCTCTCGCCCAATGTCAGCTGGGATTGGCTCCAGCTCCCTGTGACCTTTAAAGGATAAGTGGTATAGATAATGGATGGGTTTTTTTGTTCTATTTTGACAAGTAGCCAATACAATTTGGCTGGAATAATTACCCTGAACATCTAAGAAGCCAGTGATTCTCTGAGGTTTAGCTCAACCAATCTTGTAGTAGTGTAAGTGTCTCTTCTTCCACAGCTGCATTATTTGTGAAATCACAAATATATTAATTTGTGAAGTCGGCCCATCACTTCCTCTTAAGATTTTCATTCTCCCTCTCGTGCAGGTACATCGAGAGGCTGAAGGCCAGAAACGAACGTCTGACAGCAGCTCTGGAGCGGAGGAAGGGAGAGTCGGAGCAGATCAGCGTTACACTCAGCAGACTTGAGTCCGACTGCTCTGCCCTGCAGACAGCTCTCAAATACTGGTACTTGCACAAAACAAACCTGTCACACCAGTGTTACAAAGTCGTTTGATGTGTGTCACAATAACAAATCTATCAATCAATCTAAAAATATTAAGTGGACTTTTTCTCATCCGGTGAGGACCTGTTGTTTTTGTGGACATGATTGACAGTGAGGAGTGTGAGGAGGCCTATAGTGAGCTACTGTCCCTTTATGAGGCCAAGAAGCAGCAGAGCATTCCTCTGCAGACGGACCCAGCAGGTGTTTGACTATCACTTTTTTATACTGCTTGCACTCATACACAATAGGTATGCAGGTCATGCACACACACAGTTGGACTCACAGTTTTTTTCCCCTCATCAGAAGAAGTCACTGACAGGCAGCAGGCCGACAGTCCATCGTCTGAGCTGAGAAACATGGGAAGTGATGAGCTGTCCACCTCCTTCTCAACAGCAGGGGTCACAGAGGAGACAGAAACACAGAGTCACACAGGGCAGAGGTGAGTTCATTAAGTACTGTTACACAATCAAGCTACATAATAAGATTGGTTAGAAAAGAGAGAAAGAATGTTTAGAAACATTCTACACATCATTCTCTCCCTCCACCAAAGAGTAACGTTGTATAGACTAAAACATATTAGAGATGGCTCAGTGCAGTGGGAAAATAATAGATTGTATTGAACTCAAATATGAACATTTCCTGGTCCATGTTTTTGTCTAATCAGTCACTACCTGTAACTCCACAGGACACCTGAGCTGCCGAATCGAGAGACTGCTCTCCGTCAGCAGATTGAGCATCTGAAGAGGGAGCGGGCAGCCATTAGCCTCCCTAAACCGAACCAGCAGCAAGAGAGCAAGCTGAGCCCTGAAACCAGTCACCCAGCTGGGTCGAGAGAGGGACATGTGACCAGGGAGAACTTCAGACCTCTTGATGCCAAGAAAGAGAAGGCATCCCTCTTCTGTGAACTCATTTCTGTCAGGGTAGGAACTGTGTGCTTACGGTCTGTGCTTACATTTGTTTAATGAAGTGTCACGATTCTATTTTACAGGGAGAAATTAATTCATGAACACAATACAGAATTATATTTAAAATGGTATGAGATCAAAATCATACAAAAGTACATGCAGTGGGGACTTTGAACTTTCACAACAGACTCGGAAATGGAGGTAAAACCTGCTAGTTTGGATAAAATGGCTACATTTTGTGATCTGTCCACCATTTTGGACATTCCTACTTCACAGCTTTGAAAATCTTTATACATTGTGGTTAATGGTTTAACTGTTTTGTTTCAGGAGGAGATGTCAGATCTGAGATCTCTAATCCGCCTCAAAGAGAAGGAGCTGAGGTGTCTAGAGTGGAGTTTAATGGCCCAGAAAGCTCAGGAAGCAGCTGGAGTCTTTGTGCCAGAAAGTCTCCGAGAGGAACAGGAGGATCGTAAGACGGAAAAACAGGTAGGAGACACTCGTACAGCAGCAACAGAGGTTTTTTTTTTTTTTTTTTTATTCAAATAAAACAAAGTCAAGGTGAAAAGAGAAAGCAGGAGCAGGACTTTGGTCCACTGTGACCGACCCGATTCAAATCTGGGTGCTCCACGTGGGAAATCACACGTCTACCAAAGCAGGATCCCTTCAGGCCACGAAGGATATTTTGGTTCCACAAGGTCTTCTGCTGCATTGTCCTGTCGCAGCTGCAGCAAAGATTTCTTTTGCACCATGCACCTCTGTCACTGTCGAATGACGTAGATCTGAACAGCTACTTTACGCTAACACAACTTTCTGTCAAGCTCTCTGTGATCTTACACCGCACAGGTTTGGTTTTCTGGAAGCCGCAGAGTTTTTTGAGGAGTGCTTCTAAATTTCCTTACAACTGGCTATTTTCTTCATAAAGATTTATTTTAGATTTTCTTTTAACTAAGTGGTTTGATCTGCACATGGTCAGATCTCTTGTCCTATACACGTCTTGATTCCTACTTTAGATGAAAATTATTTTAGCTAAAATCAGCTCAGTGAACTCTCCTTTCCAACCTTTATATCAGTTGTCCCTGACCCAAGGGTCAGATCTGAGCAAAGATAATGCAAGAGAAATCTATAGAGTTGCAGGGTGATTAACAAGACAATATATTGCCTTCCTTTTGTAAATATTATGTTAATTTCTTCAGGCCTTTAAAAACATTTTAAATAAATGGTCCATGAGGAATGAAATCATTTGAACTGTTCAAGGTTGCAGTTTAGATGGTTACAAACCGAAAAGAGTAAACGTTGCTTTAGATGAGTGTGTAAACCATGTTCATCTCATCTCTGTTAGATTGAATGTAAATGTCTTTTTTGAGCTTCTAAGATAATCTGAATGTTATGTTTCAGAGGTTCTGTGAGGCTGCAGCTAAACTGGGTAGTGACGGAGACATTGTTGAAGCTCGAACCAGATCCATTCTGAAAGAGCTGCAGGCCGTCCTACAAAGGTGAGGTATTCTGTCCTTAATGCTGCATCCTAAATTTAACCAGGTTCTTTTAATGATATGTTGTGTATTCGCAAAATGAGACAAAAGGAGGTACATACAAACCACATGGATAGTAAACACAGTCGATGTGTGGGTGAACTAGTTGTGAGATACATTCAAAAAGGTAAAAACCTTAAAAGACATTTTGCTTTGTATTTATAAGGATCAATCGACTTAGTTCCTATAGAATCTCTGACATTGTCACCTGATCAAATCTGATTAAGATTCAAAACATGCAGCTTATGGATGTAGTCAGTGTAAAATGAATCATCTGACACTGCTGGTTTTGATCTGTTGCTTGGAAACAACATCAGCAAAAACACAGACCTTGGACATAAACAGCTTCTCATTCATTCTGTCAATCAGGTGCTTCATAGAGCGTCATTTTTCTCATCTGATCTTGAGCTGTGAATACTTCTAAACAAAGCTGCTGCTGTAAACAGTCTTCAGTCTTGTCATCAGGTCAATGACACACCATTAAAACATTAACGATTCTTCTTTGAGGAAATATCGTCGGTGCCTCAAGCAAACATGAAGATCTTGACAGTACTTCCTCTCTTCTGTTGCATCTGATCTTACATTTGCTTTCAGGGAACAAGCCCTGAAGAAGAGATTAGCTTTAGTCCATGACTCATCAAACACAGCTCTCTCTGAAAGAAGAGACAGTGGAGAGTTTGCCCGGCTCACACAGGCTCACAGGTAAAAAGAGAGAAAGTATTCAAAAGAAGCATTTCATCCTCATCTTCATGCAACCAAACTGAATCTAAAAAAGGACAAATTGTGTGTGTGTGTGTGTTTTCTGTTCCAGTAAAGCTTTGAACTCGTACCGGCAGATTCGCAGAAAGTATCGGGAGCAAGTATGGAGGCTGGAGCAGAAAGTGGCAGCCATGACGGACAGTCAGCACAACCAGAGTGGAGCTTCAAAAGCTGCAGTGGAGGCCGTGGAGTGGAGGAGGGAAGAGACTGTTCTGTGATTCTTCACTCAGAAATTATACAGTCTAACAGTCTAACTCAACTATATATAGTTTATATCCTTATATATCCTGCTTATTCCCTCTACTGATAGTGTGTAAAGTGATAATTATGACCAAGCACAATCTATTTGAACTATAACACACAGAGCTTTGTATTCTTCTTGTCCATGTTGATAACAGCATTCAAACATTCACAGTGCAGAGAAAGCATGTGAACCCCTGAGGCTAATGACATCAAGAAGCTTACTGAAGTCAGGAGTTAGCAAACCAGTCAATGAGTGTAGATATTCATCTGTCCAGACTTCAACAACAACATGTTTCTAAATGGAGATCATTTAGTACTGTGGCTATCACCTCACACCTCTATTTATGTTGGACACTGTCTTTTCTCAGGAATGTTTTAAATCTTGTTATTTTGTTTATGTGCTCTTTTACACAGAGCATCTATTGCACTTCTGTCCGTCCTGGGAGAGAGATCCCTCACATGTCACTCTCCCACAAGTTCTTCCTCACCCTGATTGAGGGTTAGGGACAGAGGATGTCGCAACTTGTACAGATCGCTAAACCCTATGAGGCCAGTTGTGATTTTGGAATATAGGCAATAGTTATTTTATTTTACAATGCAGATTGCACAGTGAGGTTGAAAACAAGCAGCTAAAGCCAACTCAAACTAGTTATTATTTTCCTTGGCCCTATATCTGTCAACACAGTGATGACATGTAAAGCAGTCGGTTGAGCTCTGGAGAGGTAAATATAGAGTATGTGGGGCAGTAGAACATGGAAACGCAGTGAATTCCACCGGTTCAACCCCTTGTGAGAGTTGCCAATAAACCGAACAGGATTTCAGAGCTTAACTTGTCTAACAGGACTCACACATCACAAGACACATTCCTCATTTCAGAGAAATAGCTGTCATGCAGGCATGAATGTGTTGGGCTGACACAAGGACTGAGCCCACTGAGGATCGCGGGACTGACCTCCACAGCGCACATGTCCTTTCCTTTTTTTCCCCCCATACAAGCTGACTCAATAAAGCCTCGGCTGGCCGGCCATGCTGCCGTAACAATGCTCCGAGAAATGGGGGGGAAGGGGGCCGGGACAATGGCTGAAGTGCACACAAAATGTACGGCCAGCCCATTTGTCTTCTTTGCACTTTCATAGTTCTCTTCATCTTGTTCTCTCTGCTTCCAGTCACTGGTCAGATCAACAAAATTATATACAAAAATCTCTCGTGGTATCCAGATCAACCTGTGACCATGGATTAGTCACAGGTTGCAAGTCTTTGAGTTGTAATTCAGTGCAACTAAGACTTTTTCATGTCAAATGTATAAAGAGGGGAAAAAAACACAGATTTCCCACATAATTCATGGATCTTAATTGAAACAAACGAGGCACATTATAGATTACTATGACATATTATAACTGATTTCTATGAGTGTGTGCAATTAGATGCAGCTTAATTGAATTTAAGGAATTGGCGTATGTGCTCTGCTAAGTGCCATTCTAGTTATATGTAGTACAACACTAATGTCAAAGGGAATTCACCTTGATGGTCTTGGATGATGCAGATTGCTTAAAACAAGCACAAAACTAGTAATCTACACAAGAGGAATCTAGAACCAGTTTGCCTTTGAGTCAGCCCTTTGAAGGCTTATCTCTTACAATCTCCTCATAACCATCTTCTTCTCTTTACATCTCACTGATAGCTCAATTTCCCTCCACCCCCCATCTTCTCTCCTGGCTCATCTCTCATATCTGTCCCCTCTCCCCCCTCCAGCCGACCCTGTGCCCTGACCTACCCAAGCCGGTCAGCTGCAGCTGTGACCGGCGGTCAGGAGGTTAAGGCAAAGGTTGAGTGTCACACCCACAGGGTCACAACGGTGCCTGGCTGTTGTGTTATGCTGTGAATGGAAGGTTCAGAGTGCCAGACGAGGTGGCGAGTCCCTGACGCCCTGACTCTTGCCTGAGTTTGCCCTTTCCTGAGCAAAGGTCAGCTCGCAGGGCCTGTCCTCTGCACTGCCCCCATACCTCCAGGTCAGCATCGCTATTGTTGTGATAGCTGCCATTAGAGCAGATGATACAATTATCGTTCCATTTTGTGTTTCCTCTCTCTGAGGTCTGTGTTGAGCCTCTGAGTTCATCAAAGCTTTTTAGATGACATGACTGTTGTAACCTCAGGGGGACTCTTGTATAGAAAGGGACCAAAAAAAGGTAGAATAAGACAGAACAGCATAGAACTAACTTGAGTGAAAGTATTTAGTACCGCCTCACGTGAGGTGATATATAATTACTACTCCATCTGATTTCAACAGTGACACTGCCAAAATGTCAGAATATATACCTCAATTATATGTGTGAGTGATATACAGCACTATCATATTGTTAGAATATTACTGCTGATGATTAATGGGAGCAGCATTTTAAATTTTTAACTGGTCGAATTTGAATCATGTTAAATTTCTGTATTTTGAGTTGTTAAATATCGTGTATATTAAAGTGTGTTGTTTTTATTCTTTATTGTTTCCAAAAACAGAATAGGAAAAAAGCACAAAGTTTAATTTATGACAATAACAATACAATATTGTACAGTTTCATCAAAATTGTAATTTAAAAAGTGACTAGCAACCACAGCTTATACATATTTATCTAATCTAAGAATAAATGATTCTGACATGAGTAGAAATACTCATGTAAAGTGGTACCTTTGGAATTGCTGGAGCTGTTTTATATCAATCTAACACAAATATCACTTAAAAATGTTTTGACATTATCTGTGTGGAATTAAAGTAACCTTGGTTTAACCTTGACCCCACATGAAAGTGTAAAAGGTCTTATCTAATCTCCCTCATGATTACGTTACTGCAGATACTGTCTGTGAAGAATTGGCATTGGAAAACATTTTATAAATGTGCACTAAGGACTGAGTACGATAAGGGAGTTAAACAGCATGAGAACTAAATGATTCTGGTATTTAAGAGCTGAAACAATGTCATCATGTTCACTTCTATTCACCAAATTTCTGGACACATTTCAACCCCCACATGTAACAGCCAGTCAGGCAGTGTTTTTAGCCTGGGAAAAATACCCAAAGCATTATTAAACGACGACAGGGGCTGTCAATCAGTGTGGGGGTGGAAGCAATCACACACACAAGGACAAGCGCGGGGGGGTAAGTGACCTAGGGGTTTAGGGTCAACTAATTTATTCTCTGCATCCGTTCCTCATTTTAATAAGTTGTTCCTCTGTAAGCTGTATAAAGAGATCATAGCTTGTACCTTCATCCCTGTGCCCTTTCTTTCTTAAAGCCATTAGCTCACCTGTCACAACCACTCCATATCCCTTCTCATCTCCTCCTCCTGTCTATACCTCTCTCTGTTCTCTGCTCTGTGCGGCGGGACGCTGACATGCTGACCTGACACCTCTCTCCTGAGCTTTCTGACCCCGTCTGCCCGTGTAGAGGTCAGGACGATGGGGCGCTATCAGCGTTGGACGAGCGCGAAAAAGAGATTTGACCTCAATCAAACGGCCTATCACGTCCGCTTTGTGCTGGCACCCACTCAAATAATGACGGCAAACGGCTCAAGCCAAAAGGCCACCTCAGCGTCACACTGCCTCCACATAAAGAGTGAAACCTTGTTGCATATCATTGTTATCTGGTGAACAAGCCCCATTAATGGGATTTTCATGCCTAAGATCCTATCATAGGATTGCATGCTTGTCAATAAGTTGTTTAATGCCTGACATTCATCCTTTTTAGACTTTTATTATTTGATTTCTCTCTTCTGCACAATAATATAAAAATAAAACAGCTTAGTTTCGAATAGATTTGGTATTTAGTTGGTGCCTTACACCTCCAGGGCAATCCATCTTTTCAGAGGAACGTATGTTTTTTGTGTTGCACGGAAATCAACTTGCAGAGACTTGAATTTTGCTTGAGATTGATTTTTTAAATATTTGTCAAAGTGGCTTTCTCATCATATGATTATGAAACATAATGAGTGTTCACCTGTATTCACCCCTGAATCCTACCACTCAACTGCAATGAATCTTAAGCTGCTTCCAGACGTGCACTGAAGTCTGAGCCTTTTCCCGAAACTTTCCGGAAGGGGCTGTATAAGAGAAAACAAAAGTCAGAGTAAGTTGCTCTCGACATTTTCCGCAGCTTGTCCTGCCAGCCCCCCGGTAGAATAGACCCATTTCTGGACATTGAGTTGATGACTGAAAACAACTTCAGTGAGCCGGTGTTTTTCATTGCAGTCAAACACACCACAGATCAGTGTCCAGTCCAAGAAAAACAATCTGCAGAGCAGATGAGCTAATGAGGTCACTCAGCTCGTCAGCTTGTGTGCGGTAGATTACAGCAATAAGGTGTTTAGAGAGGAAAGGCGGTTGGGGGAGTGGCCTGGGCCTAATCCTGTTAAAGCATTTGAGTTGTCTTCACTGAGCTGATTAGGTTAATTTTCTGTCATCCTCAGCATCTTAGTTGACTAATGTCTGTCTGATAGCAGAGGGCACATCAGGGAGTAACAGATTGGACGCAGATTTACAACAGATTGAAGTTGGCAATTTGGAACTCGATCAAATTGTTGTGGCTGCGCAAAGTGTTAGGTTAATGCCCTGTCTGAAAATGTCAGGCTTCGTTGGCGCTCATATGCAAAGAAGCTCATCTTTTAAAGGGGTTATCTGCTGACAATATATTGACAACAAGTCAATGGTAATCACTTTACATCTACAGGAAAACATTTAGCTCCAAAGTTTATTTTGAATAACAATAACCTCTTCAACCTTTTCAGCTGACACCTATATTGTCTACACAATAACAATTCAAACCATCTGAGTTTGTTTTTTTATCAACACATACACCATGGCTGAGAACAAAGGAGACGATCTTCATGGGGCACATAGACTGTGAAGGATGGTTTACAGCGACTTTATGTGATCAGCATTACCAGCTTGTCCCTTCCACACTACTTTCGCCTAGCAACTGAGCTGCAGTTGGACATGACGAGAAAGTTTTAATGCCCCTTGGTTTTTCAGCATGTGTTAGCTGTTCGGTGTGAAGCATCAGACGTCTCGTCTCTTTTGCAGGCACTGTGACTTCTTTGAAAAACCAAAACGCAATGAATTCAATGCTGAGAAGGAATCACCTGTTGCAGCCTTTGTTTCTGAGGGATGAAAGAACATACTGTATTTGTCAGCCACATTTTGAGGAGCCTTCAAAATGGAAAAATCTAGTTGTGCCGCTGCAGAAGAATGATGCCTCTGCCTCTATCCATACAATTATCAAGGAAAACATCTTTAAAAGTTACATGAGCTGCTTTGCTTAGTGCGCGGCCAAAGAAAATTTGCATTTGATATTTAGAACTGTATATGATAACGTGGAACAATAACATTACAGAAGACAGAAGGTCAAAATTTGCAACTGCAGTTTGCTGAACTTTCACATAAATTAGATCGGACTTCCCGTAGGAGTCAACTAACGCTGGTACATGGTAATTTTATATGAACAGCAGGTCAAATGAGAAGGGCACATGTACTGTGAAAAGTGTCACTTGTAGTGATGAACCCACAGAGCATTATCACCCAAATCTTTGGTCGCCCTCTGCCCCAGTGAGGGTTCCAGTGTGTGTCAGCTCGTTCTGTTTTAATTCACTCTCACCGATCATCAGCTTCACTTCTGGACACAGCGGGAACCTGTTTTTATACAAAGGAAACCACCAAACTGCAAAGAGACTAGCTGCTGAAAATAGTCCACGTTATTAAACAAGGTAAATCCCATTGAGGTCAACAACCTTTATTTCAAGAGAAACCTGCACAGGACAGCAGCATTTCAAGTTTTAGACAAAACAATACAACATTCATCCATCTCGCTTATCCTTTAGAAGATCTCAGCGGGGGACTGACACACCCTAGACAGGTAGCCAGTCCATTACAGGCCTGACATTCAGAGACAACCAACCATCCATGCAAATGTTCACACAATGGACAATTTAGAGCCTTAACCCCAGCACATGTCTCTGGACTGGGGGAGGAAGCCAGAGTACCCAACAGTCCCCTCAACATCGATCAAGCCGCACCAAATTGCACACTTACAGATATCAATTAAATATACCTGACTATTTTCATTAAGATCCTATAATATTCACTGGGATATTGGTGAAAAAGTTCCCCTCATTGTCCGGGTCCATGCCAAAATTTAATGGTGTCTTTCTTGGCCCATTTCCCATCATTTCGCAAAGTTTTGTGGAAACTTAAAACTTAATCTTAACTGACAAACAATTACCTCTTCAGTGGAGGTAACCAGGTGACAATGGAGGAGGCTATATTAAAAAAAAAGAAAAGTAATAATTAGATTAAGCTGCTAAAATGAACTGAAAAACAGTGATGTCAGTAAATGTTACTTTTCCTGCAGAACGTGTTAATAAGCAGAAATTAAAGAGGAATATTGCATGTAGTAATACTGAAGTAGGATTATGTATTAAACAATGTTGTATGTAGCAATATTGAATATCAGGGATCAAGGTTGAATAAGAGTGACGGTTTATTTTCTGTCTGTTTAACATTGGCCTCATTTAGTGTTTTCTTATCTTTACAGCAAACACATGGAAAAAGGCTTCTCTGCCGTTACAGTAAACACGTCTATTGACTCCTCTTTATACAATGGGCTGATACCTCGTTCACAGTGAGCACTTGATAGCTGATTTGAATGACAACAAAACGCACCAAATGGGAAGTTTCCCACCACCTACAGCAGGTCCTGGGTGGGGAGGCGGGCAAATATTGATCGGACACCGTGTGTTGCTCCGGAGTCACCCCAGCAGATGTTTTTCTGTGGCAGGTTCCACTGCCCTGTTTATTTTAAATTGCTCCGTCATTCGCTCGAGGTCAAAGGCCCGAGGATGGAGAGCGTGTTGTGAGAGGAAGGTTGGACAGAGAGACGGGAGGGTGAGAGGGGAGAAGATGATTTTTTTCTTCTGGGTCAAAGGGCAGCGGGGCTAATGAGGAAGGAGCAGGGAGTCATGTGCTCTCGCTGGTTCATTCAGAGTTACTCCTCAGAGTTAAAGTTTAACCCCTGTTCTCAAATTCCTCTACACTTTAACTAATGCAGTTAACACACTACCAGACTAATATACAGTCCACCACCTACACAGAATTGATTCAGTCCTCTCAAACTAGGGTCAAATTCGGGGAATGCACAAAACAAACTATGAAATACGAGTGGCTGTACTTTTCTAGCATTGTCTTAAAACAGCAGGACGTTTTTTGAAGCAGTTTAGCAGGGAGGATGAGTTTTCATTGAGTACACTGTTTACTTAGAATATCATCTGACACAAGCCTCTATAATCTCCTCGGTTGAAAAGATTATAGAAGCAGAAACCTAAATCTCTGCTGAACAGGTGATCAAAATGCAGCAGCACTAGCATCCATTGGGATTTAAACTGGTTCAGGCCGCCTTGAAATTTATATTTTAATTTTTTAAATCGACTTGTGGGCATGTTATCTTATCTTTTGTATCAACAATAAATGGGACTCAAGGACAATGTGTGTTTTTCTTTTTGGTTTGTTTTGGTCTCTTATCTTATTTAGTGATTCCAGGAAAATGTAATTTCATTCTCCCTGCACTACTTTTGTATGTCTGGTAAAATGACAATAAAGTCTGAGTTGATTTGATGTGTGAAAGGCAAACTTAAGAAAATGTTCAGACCCAATTGTCCAGCTAGTATTCACTTACAAAGAGGTCATTGTTATTCGGAAATAATCCAGTGCAATAACTAGTAAATGTTGAGTCCTGATTGTATATATTATTTTAAGCAACACATTATGTAGCTGCAGAAAAACACAGGATCAAAAACTAAATATTCTGTGAAAATCCTCTAGTTTCTACATGAAATAAACCTAAATTAAAAAGTGTGAATTAACCAGGGATGTACGTTCAGGTCTCTGTGTGGGTACAGTGTTTGTTCATTGTTCAGGTGAGTACATTGAATATTAATCTGCTTCACTCTGCACTGACTGTTTTGAGAAAATGCACAGACTCTGTCACAGTTGACTTCACGCTGAGAGCAGCTGCATTCCTGACCTGCAGTTCAAAGAGCAAGGAACACACACACACACACACACGTCTACTAACTCCCAGGTATGTAAGGCATATGTACATTTGCAAAAGGGCACCAGCATGTTCTTACAAAAAAAATACCACACAATGAAAAACACAGTGATCGTATAACTGCTGTAACTGATAACTGTAACGGCTACAACAGTCAGACACAAGTGTGACTGAGACTCTGTTCTTTCAAACACTGCAGCTGCTGCAGGGCTGCAAACATGAACAGTCGTGTTCTGACTTCACACTGCAAACCTGACGAAAAGTCCTGCAACAGAAACATGTGGAGACAGAAAGGTCAGTGATCTGACCTCTGAGAAATGTGGTCCTCCTCTCACTGCATGTTTCAACTGATCACACTTGATTATTTCACTAATCTCCACAATGATCAATGACATCATTCCACATGTCCCTGAACATTAGAAGCAAATCGTGTTTTCCTTTTAACTGTGTCAAGGTTTTTGTTTACAAAACCCTAACCCTAGAGATTAAACCAACTCTGGAACACGATTACAACACCAAACTTCATTCCCAAATAACATTTTAATTAATGTAGGTGTTAATGTAATAATGATTACAGTACTCTTGGGTTAGAATGTCAACATGTTATTGGTCATTATGTTCTGCAAAATCCCATCAAAAGATCTCTAGATTTTTATATATTGAAGATGTGTATATATATATATATATATATATATATATATATATATATATGTCAAAGATTTGTTCATATTACACTCAAGTAAACTGAGCACCACATATTTGATTTTGTTCCACTTTTTAATCATACAATAAAAGTCAAAGTTTTTGTGAAATGTCCTTATGAAAACAATGGTGATTTTTCAAAGTACCTGTAATCTATATACATTATAAAAACATACATATTTATATTTTTATATTTTATGCATAAATATATTGTATTCTTTTATATCCCTCCTTTTAAGATATTGTTCATTGTGCTCATTTTCCAAAACTTGTTTTTGTTTGTTACGGTTTGAGGAGAAAATATCAAACACTCCTCCACAGGGTCTGACCGCTGCAAACACACATAGACAGAGGCTTAGAGGAAAGCAGTAATTCAACTTGCAGCAGCTTAGTTTGGCCCTGATAACCTCTTAACCAAACAAAAGGCCTATCCATGCACAATGAGTCTCGCTGTGACGGATGTGGGCTAAAGTTGCCTTATGCTCACATTAAAGAGGCTGAATTAACCTAACTGGAAAAAAAAACCCTGCCTAATGTTTTTTTTTGATGTAACTCTATGCTGCTTTAACATCTTTACATTTCATATATTCATTTGAAGGTCCAGGGGACAAACTGTTTTGTCATCTAGGAGGAATTCCTGTAAGACCATGTGATGAGCAAACACTTTTTGGTACATAGAGGTTCTTTTAAGCAGACATGTTTGTAAGCAGCAGTGAATACCTTCTCTGTGGGTTTTTTCCCTCCTGCGTTTGGAGGCTGTTATTGGAAACCTTGGTTGCAGGCTCTGATTGTTTATTTTGTCCTCCCTTTTTGTGAAGACCTTCACATGACAGTGCTGTTGGTACGACAGACAAAGCAGGCAAGAAATTCCACAGGAGCAGTGCCTAATGCCAAGACGAGAGATAAGTTACCCAGAGAATCATAATTGGGTTTGTAAAACAGAAAGAGTTACATACAGTAACACAATGCTTTTGTTTATACAATGAATAATGCATAGTCTAAGTTAAAGGGATGTGCTACTAGTTTTAAGGCCAGTTTACTATATTAATGTATCTGTTTGTGGTTGTGTTTATGTAACTTAAAGCATTTAGTTGAAGTTGTGAATGAAATTTCAACATTGTCTTAAAAGGTGGCAAAGAACCTTCTGTTTTTGTTTTAGCAAACATGTCAACTTAATTGAAAGAAACATGAATATAACAAAACATAAAAATACAGCCCAGCCACCCCATTCCCCAGATCCAGGCCACTGACCCCAACAAATCAGCACTGCAAAACATCCTTGAGGTTCATTGAGTACCATGATTCCTTCACTCTAGAGCACATGAAAGGAACATTCTTATCTTATTCACATTTCATCAATACCAGTTTTTAGTGCTTCAAGAGATTTAGCTGTTAAACCGTCTGTGAACACACAAACTTGACTCAGGATGCAAACCGCGTTCTGCAGCGTGACTTGTTGTTTTTTCAACCCCATCCATGTGCAGAAGTGAGAACAAGTCACAAAAAGTGAACTTCCTGTAAATGGGCTATTGTCAGCACAATTTACGGACCATGTATTTCTACGTTGGCACAAGCCTCGGCGCCTCCCCCTGCAACCCTCAAAGGGCGAGTGGTATATAGATAATGGATGGATGTAATTCTAGGGGTATAAACAGGCATACTGACCTAGAATCTGTTTATGACAAATAAAATATAGCAAGATGAGATCTGGTTACATATAGGAAACTAAATAATTTGGTCAATGTTAGGGAGCTATTTTGGTTACTGTTATTAAAAATTAAATTATTTATAGCAAGCCTCTAATCAGAGGTCTTAGAACATAATTTCTGCATTTTCTCTGACCACATTTTGGAAATAAATCAAGAAGAATTGCAGAATTGTCCAATATACGTACATTTTGAGCAAAAAGACAGGATATCTTGACCTCTCCTTCACTGATATTACTCATTCTTAAAAAAAAAAACACTTTATAAACACACAGTTCTAAAGCACCATTTTTATCAGAAGTATAACCAGCACCATACAGGACCCTGCAGTTCCCCAGGATCTCTGGCCTCTTTCACACTGACCTGTGAGAGTGTGCAGCAGGTGTGAAAAGGAGCCGGTGGCGTATCATATAACCTTTTGACAAGTTGCTCAACAACAGCGGGCCCTCCCTGTTATTATTGGGTCAACAAAGTCGGAGGAAGTCTTAAGGATTAGAGTGGAGTGGAGAACATGAGTGCGAGTGCCATGCGCTCGCTGTATGTCGACCAGTGGACCCCCACCCCTCTTTGTCTTGCGGCAGTGTTGAGGTTAACTACCCCTTGGTCCCGGGCTGGCCTGAGGTCAGGAGGAGAACAGGCAGCCAGTGTGTGTGTGTGTGTGTGTGTGTGTGTGTGTGTGGCTGCAGCCCACTCTGTGCTCTTTGACTCCTCTGGCCTTATAAGGCATCCAGTGTCATGGCAACGGCAGGGCTTGAATAGCAGTGTCAAATCCCTCAGCACACAGACACAGCTCACTCTCTCGAAAGGAGGGAGCGAGGCAGAGACACGCAGAGAGAGAGCGAGTGAGCGGGGATCGAGAGGAGCAGGAGAGGAGGCTATCTCTCCACCACAGCGTCTGGCTTTCACTAAAAGGTCTGTGACGGTGTTTTTCCTGCGCTTGTTTGCCTAATTTATTCCTGCGGGGGCCAGCAGAAAGAAAAGGCGGACAGGGAAAAAAAAGGACAGACGGAATAGTAAAGAGTGCAACAGAACACCGTGACTCGCTGACAGGGAATGCAGAACGGTTCTGGCCTCTGGTTGTTACTGCTGGATGGACAAGCACTGACAAAACGAGAGAAGAGAGGAGTCTATGACTGAGGAGACTGTTGAACTCGGCTTTTGTTTTGGCTTGTTGTTTTTTCTGTGACATCTGAGCCTCTGACACCACAAACTCTGGGGAGTTGGAGGAGCCACAAGAAAACATAATTTCACCACAGACAACAGAAGAGCACGAAGTCCTTTCATGAACTCTGTTGCTGCAGAAACCACATTTTCCAGGACTAAAAAAAAGAGTGTATTGTCTTTCTCACCACGCTTCTGATTTAAATATCAAGAGGTGGGATCATTGTCTGCATATGTTTCATTTCAGGGCACAAAAGTGTTTCTGAGCCAAACTGCTATTTGTGTATAAACGCTAAAGTCACACTGTGTTCGTATCCTGTCAAAAAAACAAAGACAAGGGCTGAATCCAATTCCAAAACTCCCCAGACTTATTTTATTAAATTTTCAAAATAAAATAAGATCTTATTTCTTCCTCCTCATCGCTATCACTTCAATTACAGCCTTGACAAGTCAAGAGTGCGTCTGGACTAGAACTGCCTCAGATCGGCAGATAACACCTCTGCACGGCAGGAACTGGTTGGACTAGTTTATAAGTTGGAGGAGAGGGCAGGGCAGTTTAACCCTGCCTAAAGGAGCACTGTGTTATTTTCCTCCTACTTGCTTGTCCTTTTGGGAGAAAGTCATGCGCTGAGAGAGAGGGGCTGACCCTTTTTTATTTGAACACTGACTCTTGTTTTGTCCCTCGCTGCTATGCTTATGGATAGGTGAGGTGAGTTTTTTTTCAAACTTCTTTTAGGGGGGGAGACAGAGAGAGAAAGTGAGAGGGAGAAAGAGGGAGTAATTTATTGTTTCCTGTGAAAAGAGCAAGGCTGCGCCCTTTTCTCCTGCCTGAACTCTGAACCACTAAATGTGTGTCTGAAGTTTTCTCAGACCTTGGGAGCCATTGATCGGAGGTCAGGGCAGAAAACAGAGGGGTGAAAGACAAGAACAGAGCGAGCAGGGGGATTAAAGAAGAGAGAGAGAAAACAGCACTGGGAAGGACCTCCAGGTCAGTCTAAGCAGACGGCAGAGGAGAGGAAGGTCAACACGAAGGAGCCCAGGACAACTTTTCATCACATTTTTGGACAATTACAAACCTGGAACCACTATCTTCAAGTGTGGAAGCAATTTTTAAACTTTGAGGGTAGCTAGGAGCTGGGGGCACAGGGCGGGTCTGTGAATGATCCATTCACAGGACTGCACGTCTCAGAGAATATGGCCATGGTGAGCGGGGGATGGGGAAACCCCAATGGGGACACTAATGGACTGGGGGAGAAGGCTTACCTGAAGAGGGAGGAAGAGGACGGATCGCCCCAGGCCGGCAGCAGCGATGTGGACGTCGGGGACGATGACAAGTCCTGCGTGGTGGACTGTGTGGTGTGTGGGGACAAGTCCAGTGGGAAGCACTACGGTGTGTTCACCTGCGAGGGCTGCAAGAGCTTCTTCAAGAGGAGCATCAGGCGGAACCTCAACTACTCGTGCAGGTAGGGGCTGCTGGGAGATTGAAGTCGATGTCTTATTTTATTTACATGCAACGATTCAGATTGAGTTAGACAAGGCACATTTAATAAATCTATCATCTTTTTGGATCCATTTGACTCAAAAGTTTGACCTTTATGTAATTTTTTAATAATACACTGTAGTTTTAAGAACATGTAAGTGTTAATCAATATATTTGACAACAATGATAACTCATTCTGGGGACACAATACACAATAAGTGGATGCTGCCATATAAACAGAAAATGGATAATATATGATATTTAAGTAAAAGACATATTTAATAACATAAAATATGTCTTCATAGATGAAGTTGTCCCAAAATCCTTAATGTTTAAGTTCTTAAATCTGCAGACAAATAAGTTATGTCATAAATAATTTACTGCGTGTTTATGAAGTTTACATCTTAACAAGCCATTTCATGGACATTCAAATTCACAAAGGAAACAGCAAATGATTTGTTCCAACCTTGGACATGTCTCACAAACAGCCCTTGGACAGAAAAAAAATAAAAGAAATGAAAGCCCTGAGAGACAGTCATGTGAGGATGGATTGCATCAGAAGGTCAACATTCCCATTACTCTTCACCACAGGAACACAATGTCACAACTCTGCTCTCCGCTCTCACACACAGAGCCTTCAGCTACTGAGTACAGTTATTTCTTCCACATAATAACGCTCTGTCTGAACGGAAGGTGTCTGTGTAGAGGTTTTGTCACATCCAGGGCTGGAAAAAAGGGCTCTCTTGTTGGCAGACCTCGTCCTGCTGTAAATGGCAACGCGAGGGCGTGTATGGCTGATGATTTACAAAGGTCACAGCCTTGATAGCTTTTCAGCTCACACAGTTCACTCATCACAGGGGTCAGCGTGAAGAGGAGGGGGGCAGACTTTCATGTTGGAAATAATTTAAAGCTCTATGACTGGTTTCCAAATTACTACCATGAAATATTACAGCTTGTTAAAGGTTTTTTTCAGCTCAAGTGTTTTATCTTTTGTTTCCTATGGGCAGATCAAATCGAGAATGCCAAATCGACCAGCATCACCGCAACCAGTGCCAATACTGTCGGCTGAAGAAATGTTTCCGAGTTGGAATGCGAAAAGAAGGTATCAGATCGCTGTCACCCATGTTCACAGCAGACTAACATTGTTTTTTCAGGATTAGTTAACAGACAAATCAAGCAGTGAATCATGTCGTATTAGTCTCTAAGGTTAGTGTTGGGTTTCCAGCTTTGACATAGATTTAAGATTCTACACAGAGCGGCAATAATCAACATTTCTATTAATTAACTATGAGTTGAATTAAAACAGGGCTGGGCAATAAAATATGTTTCATCAATAGTAAAGTGACAGAGGTCCAATATATATCAATATAATACATTGTGTAAGCACAGTGAGGAGGTGTAACACATAATCTGTTTGTTGTTTGTCAGTCTCTGCCATGAAAACAAGATTCAAACCCCGACCTTTACTCGGGAGCAGAAATCTTTAAACTAAGAAATAAACTATTATTTGAGTTTTTGTCTTGATTCTGGCCATTATCCCCAAACTAAAATCATAACGTGAAGGGGACTGTTTGTCCTAGTTTCACCTGACTCAGCTCTACGGAGCTTTTTAGCATCTTTCCACTCACAGTTTTGGTTTTGAACAACACAACTTAACTGCTTTGGTTTTCTCTCATCACTCTCCACCAGTTCCATTCCATTCTGTTTACAGAGAACATTGTCATATTAAAACTCCCCGTTTACAACACACAGGATCATTGAACTGCCTCAAGGACCGAAGACATGTCCCCAAATAATGAAGACAAATCTTTTACACCCATTTCTACGCGGTCATACTTCTGTCTGTGTACTTACATTGGTGTGACAGGAGGAGGCAGCGTTCGTTGAAACAAGCTAAGCTAGCGACTTAGCTATTAGCAACAAAATAAACGACCCGTACTCCGCGTGCTCACCTGTTTGAGCGTGTGCGCGCGCAACTTCCGGTAGAGGAAGCGAGGCAGGAAGAAAGATGGAGGACGGAGGTGAGCTCTGATGGCGCCATATTACTTTTCTTATCGAGATTCATGTTTTCAAGTGGAACTCGGCTAACAGCTAACTCCCATATTGTACTGAAGGTCTTTTCTTTAAACAACTTTATCAGCAGTGATATGTACAAACAAGATAAACCGCTTCAGTACAAGTTCAAACTAAAGACATAAAAACAAAATGTCCACATGCATGAATAAAGAGACAATCCACAAAATAACTTATCAACATGCACAATTTATATTCCTAAAAAAAGCATATAAATTTGAATTTACAGTATTACAGCAGCAAAGTCTAATATAAGGTAATATAGAAAAATATGAATGCAATAAGACCTAAATATATACAGTCACTGTAAAAGATTACAAAGAAAACATAACACAGATATAAATACAAAATTGTGAATATGAAATACACATTTCCGAAGAAATACAATTATACACGTCATGAGCTGATAATATTAAACTTTATTTATACGTCATTTTTCAAAACACAGTCATTTTTCCAAACACGTTCACATAAGTGAACGTTATCGTAACTATGAATTTACTGTTATAAAATAGTATCAAGTGGTTAAATATCACCAATTATTATTATATGCCCCCCCCCACACACACACACAGAAACCTTCTTTGAGAGAAACAGCCGCTGACATTTGCCACTGATCCAAGCACAATATTTATACTGTAAACCAAAGCATGTTTTCACGCTGGTGCTCGACTCCCTGCAGCTGTTGTGCTTCAGGGACGAGGGGGCAACTGGAGGCGTTCACGTCTGAACCTATAGAAAAACTGAAAAGAACTGCTGCAAGTTGGTGAGAACACACCGTCTGTCTCTCGTGATGATGCCGTATAACAAATGAATTCCAGTTTCTAATGTTCTTCATCTCAGGGCTGATTAAGAACCCTGAAGGGCCTGGTGTTATTATTTTCATTTCAATCAACAACCCAACTCTTAATTATTACCTCACAAAATGTTTCTGTGTTTGAATTTACTGCTGAGGTCTATAAGAAGTCTGGTGACGGTGAAGTCTGTAATTGTGTTTGAGCGTAACCCTTCTTGTATTTCAGTCTGTCAGTGGACACCTCAACCACTCCTATACATAATGTGCTCTGAGGTGACAGCGTGCCAGCGGTTATATTGGGCCTGGTTATTAATGAACCATGCTGACCATGGCAATGACGCAGGACGCACTGTTTCCACATTAATTGGAACGCCGGTGTCACCTTTGACCCTGTCAGAGAAGCCGCCACGTTGACAACTTCAGTCCCTTTTTTTGGCACAAGACAGAGCACTCACCTTGGGATATTGCCATTAGATTTGAATCACTAAGAATTACAAGGAAATAGAGCTGTGTCACCATACATGTATTTAACTGATTCTTTACACCTCATTATAATTGGTGGTGAAAGTAAATTTATTTCATACCTGGAACTATTTTAGTATTGATGCAATCAAAGGTTTGTCATATATTATCAGTGATAACATTTCACACAACACTGATGTGAGAAGTATTTTAAAAGTGTAAATGATAAAAATAAAAACCCTTTTCAGTTATGATACTTCAAAGATTTAAACTCATGTTCCACAAATTAAAAAACAACATTTCAAATTAAAGGCTTTCAGCTGTGATTTTATTATGTCCTTGAACTAAAAGAGAACCAGATGACACAGTACAAACTTTAGTACAGTAATTAAGTATATGTCGTTACACTTCACTCCTGCTTCAAAAACACGTGGTTTTATTCTGAATGTCTCTTTGTAGAGAGTGAAGGAAAAATGTGATGTTGTTCAGGCACTTCATCAGATTCTCACTCTCTTGCTCTGCAGCTGTCCAGCGAGGTCGCATCCCTCCGTCTCACTCAGGCATCAGTCCAAACTCCCTGGCAGGTGGAGTCGGAGGAGTGGGGCCCGGTCACCTCGGGGCAGAGTATTTCAACGGGCAGCCTGTTTCAGATCTCATCTCCCAGCTCCTCCGGGCTGAGCCGTATCCCAGCAGCCGTTACGGGGGCCCCTACAGCCAGGCACAGATGCAGACATCTGCGAGTGGGGCCTCCGTCATGGGCATTGACAGCATCTGTGAGCTGGCCGCCCGGCTCCTCTTTAGCACCATTGAGTGGGCCAGAAACATCCCATACTTCCCAGAGCTGCCTGTTTCAGAGCAGGTCAGATGAGACATATGTTGAGATGTCTGCTTTTCTGTTCTTTGTTTGACTTTTCAATGCAGATTACATTAAAATTCACTTGCAAAATTGACAGTCAAACAACATAGCCAACATTTTAATGTAAAATCCTACCTGGTTATATCTACAAGTTATGATCTGGCCCATAACAAAGTACTAAAATGCATAACGGCTGAATTCCATTTAGCTGCTTCCGTTTCAGGGTCATGACATTGTTCACATGTCACATTGTCATAGTTTACTGGGTCACTTGAATAAAACATCAATGACTTTATCAGTAACACTTGTTTCTGCTGTGAAAACATCTATTCAGACCCTCCTCAACTCTTAAGTAACCTAACTTCCAATTGTTCCTACAGGTGGCGCTGCTGAGGTTGAGCTGGAGCGAGCTCTTCATCCTGAACGCGGCTCAGTCCGCTCTGCCTCTGCACATGGCTCCTCTGTTGGCCGCAGCTGGTTTCCACTCGTCTCCCATGTCTGCTGAGCGTGTGGTGTCCTTCATGGACCAGGTCAGGGTTTTCCAGGACCAGGTGGATAAGCTGAACCGGCTGCAGGTGGACTCAGCTGAGTACAGCTGCCTCAAAGCCATAGCACTGTTTTCTCCTGGTAGGTTTGGTAGATGGTTCACAAGATTATCTAAGTGATTAGAACAACAGTAACTGGATGTATTTACTGTAAACTATCTTGTATATATGAAGCCAAAACACAAATGTCTGTGTGCGGTATTAAACACGGTCAGTTTCTAGGTCAAGAGACTAAATCCTTGCCAGTAGAGGAATTTTGATTTTGATCTCTGACCTGTTTGACAGAAGGTTAGAAAAGAAAAAAGCTTTAATATAACTTTTTTCTCCTGCTGATTTGCTGTCATACCATGAGTCTCATGAAAATATTAATAGCTCAATCGTAGCTCAGCATAGACCAGAAACAAGGAAACACGCCCACCTACTAACTTTTAAGCACATTCATTATCTTATTAAACTATTTTAATGTGTGAATAAAAACAATGTGTGACTTTACAGTTAACGATTATCTTTGTATTCAGTCTCTGGAATTTACCATGAAAATGTTCTAAATATAGCCCACAAAGCAGAAAAGAAGACTCAAGCATAAAACAGAAAGTTTTAAACAGACTAAATTTCTGAAATAAACTCTAAACATGCAAAAGGAGAGAAGCAGGAAATTAAAATGTCAATATCCTCTTTTTCTCGGCTTTACAGATGCATGTGGTCTGACAGACCCGGCCCATGTGGAGTCCCTGCAGGAGAAGGCCCAGGTCGCCCTGACAGAGTATGAAAGAATGCAGTACCCCAACCAGCCTCAGAGATTCGGCCGGTTACTGCTGCGTCTCCCTGCTCTGCGTGCCGTGCCGGCCAACCTCATCTCTCAGCTCTTCTTCATGCGTCTGGTGGGCAAGACACCCATCGAGACGCTGATCCGAGACATGCAGCTATCAGGGAGCTCCATCAGCTGGCCCTACGTCCCGGGACAGTAAACCCCGGTGGCACCAGAGTGAGATGAACTGAGATCAGATGGGAAGCTCACAGAGATGACACACGAGTACAAAGTGAATGTTATGAATACAAACTGAGTGTAGACATCAGTATTTCCTCACATAAGCCTTGTAAAGTTTGGTGGTAGTCACACCGAAGCTGCTTTCAGGGACACAAAAATGTACTTTTGTTTGAGGCACTTGACAGTTTTCTCCTCCGATCTCTCTTGGTCTCACTCTGGATAGAAGACAAACAGGGCTTTAATTAAAATGCAGACTCTAACATGAGGCCATGTGCCTATACTACCTCCTTCCACATCACCTCATATGTGACTCAGTTTGAACCCAGGCCTGAGTGTTTTCCCTCTGCTTTGTTTTTGAGTCAAACTGAAGCCACTTTCCACAGACAGAGCTTTATATCGTCACACGGACACCGTTCAAGTTGTGTCATGTTTGATATGTCGATGAAATATCAGACGTTGTTACCAAATGTATCTGTGAAGCCTGAAAAATATCACCTTGCACAGAATTAAAACAAAGATAGGTGTGAGCATTGTACTGCAGGTTCTACTCTGTAAAGTACTACCAGTGTGCCAGATGGGAAATGTAGTATCGTACCAGAAGCTTAAAATGATTGTATTTTGAGAACAATTATTGAACAATGGGACGAGATTCTGAAACGCTGTTGTTTTGAAACACTGCTCCTAAATGTACCTTCCCCCACTGCGGGAACAAAGTGATCTGGGCGCTGTCGTCATGCCCACGATTCACATCACACTCACGATCAGATTGAAACTGAAGTGTCATCAAATATCGTAGAAATATGATGATTATCTTACATTTGGCAACACTGAGTACTACCAAGAAATATTTTGTCTGGTATATGTTTAAGGGCAGAGTTAAACATTTTGGGGATTATGTTTACTTGCTTTCTTGCTGAGGGTTAGATACAAAGACACTTATCTCATGTCTGGCTAGATGGCTAGCTGATGCTAACAAGCAATTCAAATTTTTTTCCCAATTTGTTAAAAAAAAAGGTTGTAAAACTGAGAAACTGAAATAATTTTTTACACTAGGCAACTATTTTTGAGAAGGTTACTGGTCGAAGTAGTTGCACATAATTCTGCATTAACTAGTATGTTTTTTACGCTTTTTGTTTCTGTCAGAGTTATTAAGAGTTTTTAGCAGCAATCCCGGTGGATATTTTATCTATGAACAAAACGAGGCTAGCTATTCCCCTTTTTTCCAGTCTTTATGCTAAGCTAAGCTAATCAGCTGCTGGTTCCATCCTCATATTTACTCTACAGAGATGAGGGTGGAATCAATCTTCTTATCTCATCCTCAACCATAAAGCCAACAACTTTATTTCCCTAAATGTTGAACTTTGCCCTCGATGTAGTAACGATAGAGTTCTTGCAGTAGAAAGAAAAGTGGAGGTGAATATGCTCAGACACACCCTGGCTCCCTCAGTCACATCCCTGTCCAACATTATTACCTCATGTTTTATACATCAAAGATTCTATAGTGAACTGTTCATGTACTAATAATATATAAAGGGATCAAATTATCATTATCGCAGAAACCACAAAAATAATATTCTCTCAAAGAGCCGTCTGTCCTCCAGACTTCAGCCAAAATATGTTTGAATGTTTTAAAAATGTAAAGTTTGATGTAAGAGGACACCTGAAGTTTATCGTATCATCTTACAGGGAGCTGCACTACATCAAATTACTCACATGCTTTTCTGTTGAATCTCTGCAAACTGTTTCTTTTGCTTTTATAAGGGCAGAGGTGGTTCATTTTGTCACATGTTTGATCCCCTTTCAAAAGCATGTCCTATTGGACAGCGGTAACTATCATATCACCTGCTTACGCAAGGTCCTTGCATGTTGCGTGTTGAGGTTTAAAGGTAACGTTGTTTGTTGGTACTGAGATAAACGGTACGGTACAGCGTAGTTCATGAGTGTTGATGTCATGAACAGCAGCTCGATGTCACACGTGTTTTATCTTTCCAGAGTAATTGAGTGAAAGACAATTGTAGCTTTTAAAGTTTTGTATCACCTTTTCTTAAGTCATAAACAAAGGTATCAATGACCATGATCCCTGAAGCAGCTCATCGTGCTCTCGCTGAATCACTCTGTGTTATTTGTTGGAATGTAAACTAGTGATTTGACTGTTTAGCTTTGCATTTAAAAGAAGTTTGTTTCTATGACCATGCCAAAACTTAAAAAAACTAATGCAAAAGAAGTTCATATAGCTGACTGGTTATTTTTGCATTATTGGAAATAAAAGAAGAATCCTGTACATTCCTTCTGTGGATGACTTCAGTGTTAAATGTTACTTTCCCAGTAAGTTTAATATTCAAGTTCCTACAAGATGAGATGAGTTGGGTCAGAAAATGAGTCAATGTTGATCCTCGTTTAATACTTTAAATGGTTTGATCAAGCAAATGTGAAAATAATTTTTTATTCACAAGTGGTCAAAGGCAGTAACAGATGGTTTTATATTTACTATCAACTGATACAGTTAAATAGTAAATACAGGCTCTCTGTAGCATGACTCTCAGCTTTAGTAAAATGATGTCAATGTTTTTGACCAAAAGAGGGCGGTAACAGCTTACCTTAAAGGTTCAACTAGTACTCCTACTCCCCCTGCTGGAAGCTCACTGCAGATGCACACATCTGCAAATCTCCAAGAGCCAGAATTAAAGAAAGATACAGACCTATGTAAGTTTTAGAGAATTAGAAATGTTTATTACTTACTGAATTCAATACTTTTTAGACATCATTCCATATGGAAGCATAAAAATGGTATTTTATAATAGCATCAAAGAAAATAAATTCATACAAAAATAAATGGCTCGCAAAACGGTTTGTAAAATGATGAAAATGTTCTTCATAAAAATACAGATGAGTGACAAATCAAAAGTGTGTCTTAACAATTTCATAATGTACAGCAGATCGTAACACTTTGCACATGAAGTGGATTATTATAAAAGATCACTGATGACAATGATGATGATTTTTCACTGGTAAATAATCAAATGAAAAGATATGCTCGGCTTACAGACAGTCGGAAACAGTGAGACATGTTTGTTGAGGAACATACACGATAAACAATGTATAAAAAGCATATTGTTTTTTACCGTTTTGCATAGCTTTAGCTTATTTTGAATGACAACTGATTAAAAAAACACAAGCCTCTATGGGTCTTTAGTATGTACAGATAACATCACAAACGCTAAGCAATCTGCTGACTCTAACAGACGGTTACAGTCTACACAATTTGTTCTGGGTACGTAGTGTGAACAAGATTCATTAAACATATATACACAACAACATCACACATATCTCATTGGCCAGTTTGTCCCCTTTTTTGGTCTCACTCACTTTTATGACAATCGGTATAAATATCTCAGTTGAGAGAAATACTCGTGGTCCCAGCAGAGAGCAGTTAAATGCACTGACACTGAAGTTAGTCACAATACACTGACGCAGAAGATGAGGAAAGCTAACTAAAGTTAATTTGGAGCAGAGATAACGTCAAGCAGACGGTTGGAAGAAATTGTATTTACTTGCAATCAATCCTCGTGAGCTGTCGCGCCCATTACTACGTTCTCTACAATACTGTACCACCTCTTATCTGTGGAGATAAAACAAAGAAAAGTTTCCAATCTGGAGAGCAAACAGCCACAGAAACCCAACCACAGTGTTATCACAGGTGACTGAAGGTGAGGCGACTTTCAAACAACCCCTCGTGTGAATGCACTCTGCAAACAATGAGCTGGACCTTTTAAAAATGGCAGTGTTTGCTGCGGCAGTGGCTACAACTGACGGTCCTGTTTCCGTTTTCTTCCCGAGAAGTAGTTACTGATACATTTCTGATCAGACATAATGAACACAAGCGTCGATCATTATTATTATGTTCCCTGTGAGTGTGTTAAAATGTGTCCCTCTGTATCCAGTGTGTGCTGTGAAGGTAACTTTGGTCTCAGCGTGTCCCAGGGTCTTTGCAGTGTTTTGGAGTGTATCTTGGCCCATGTCTGTGAGTGTGTGTCTGTGTCGACCACAGAGCTGAGTCAGGACTCAGTGGATTCATGAGTGGTTCTTGTCGTAGTTCTTCACCATGCGTTTGATGTGGAACAGTTTGTATCTTAGCCTGCGACACTCCTTCTTCCTAGAACGGTAGTCTGGTGTCTGCGGAGCAGAGAGAGCACAGATGAGTTACTTAACCCTACAGCACAGTCTATACGTGTGTAGTCATTGTCAACAACACAAGTAGTTATTCAATAATAACTTAAAAGACAGTGATTAAACTCAGGTCGTCCTCTACTGTGTAAATGATCTGCACTGTATCTATATGTTGTCCTGAACTGTGTTTTTGCACAATTACAAAAAATGTAATAAAGCTCTGTGATAGACTGTATAATACAACAGTTGAAGAGAACACAAAGCAATATGTTTTTTTAAGTCTTTATTAAGATAACTTTATTAAATGTCATCATCAGAGATCTTTCCTCACCTGCTTCAGATCCTTAAGCTGATTATATTCCTCCGCTACAGCCTGAGGAAAAATCAGGAAAAAACCTTTGTTATCATCACGTCTCCCATAAATGACAAACTGAATGTTGACGGATGTTTTTGTGAACTAAAGATCTTGATGATTCAGGATTTATGGGAGACACATTGGACTGCGATTCACCAGCAACATCGTAAACTCAGCTACGTGCTCAGGACACTGTAACGGGGAAGGTGAAGGGGTTTGACTGGAGTTTTCTTTGTAGAAACCTAATGAAACTGTGAAAATGAATCCCTGTCTGTCTCGTGACTTCTGGATGCGAGTGCTGAGCATATCTGACCTGGTATTTGGCCGAGGTGTCATCCAGTGCGTCCAACTGCCGGCTGAGTTTGTTCAACTGATCATTGATGTCGTCCATCTCAGCACAGAGGCGCTTGTACTCTCTAAGGTCGGAATCAAACTCTCTCTTGTAGTCATGACGCTGCACATCAGATGTTATCACCGGGTACATGCTGCAGGAGGAGGAGGAACAGGAGGGAGACAAAAAACAGGCAGATTTGGGTGAAGAGAGAAAGAAAAACAGGACTTAGCGTCAGAGATAAACTCTTATCAGTCACTGGAACTTTCAGTGAGGTTATCAAGTTTACTGCTGAGCCACAATGACACGCTTCAGAGGTCAAGGAGTTGTTACTGTAAGTGCTGCTTTCAATAACGTTGTGAACAAATAAGAATACTTCCTCATAAACTACATTAACTCTCATGTGTCGTACCTTTGGCCCAATTCTCTCATTATCCTTCTGCACAGTCCATGTGAACTTGCATGCTTTAGAGGATTAACCACTCTCCCCGACAGAGTAAGGAATACACAGACTGTAGACTTTTCCGCCCTTTGTTGTTTAAGCATCTGTTTATTTGACTGTTCCGTTCTTGCATGTTTCAGACCAAAAGATATTCCAGCTGCTCTTTAATTTTAAATCGAGTCCCTCTCACAAGAGCTTGATTTTCCGAGCTTTCATTTTCATTCAGATCAGTGAATTGAGGTCTGGTCCTGAGGGAGCCACAGTATTTGACTGTAATCTACATTTTATTTTTTTTAAACAACATTTCCATCTGTAATCCAGAGATAGAGCCGTGCAGTGGTGTTCAGCTCTCACCTCTCCCACTCTTCCTCATCAAGCTCATTGCCCGTCTCTCCTCCTGTTGTGTACTCCGTCTCGTACTGAGACTCGTCCAGCTCCGGGTTACGTCTGCGTCTCTTGCCCCGGTTGGCTGAGGGTTTGCGGCCTCCGCTCATCTCCTCTGAAGGGCTGGAGCTGTTCCCTCCACCGTGGGAGAGCACCTCTGAGGGTCGGCTTGTGGTCTTATCCGAGTACCTGCAGGGAAGCAACAAACACACAATAAAATGATTAAACACTGGACTGGCACCACTTTAAGAGATGATGATGAACAACAAGGCAGTGAAAAACTTTTGATACGCAGGAGATGAACACAGAATGGATAGACACAGTTTTGGTCATTTCAAAGTAGAGATTGATTTGAATCAAAAACTGGCGACAGATGAGACATTTCACATCCATGATGGCAGCACTGTCAAATACAATAAAGTCACTTCTACAGAGTCCTGACAAGCTGATTATAACAACGACAGCAACGTCAATAATAATAATAATTCTTTTTTTTTTTACATTTTAATTCAACTTTGATTGTTGCTTACTTATGCATCCACATGTAAAATACTTTAAGGGTCTTGAAGGAATAGTTCAACATTTTTGGAAATACATGTTTCACTATCTAGCAGAGATCTCAATGAGAAGTGAAACTACTGTCATGTCTGAACATTAAATATGTTCTAGAACCATCCAATTTTATTACTTCAATTTCGGTAGCAGTTATTTTAATGAAGTATGATACAGTTGAAAATAAATTAAGCTAGATTTTAACATTTAAACAAAAAAACCCTTCAAGAACATGATGACCCAAATAACAAGAGGAAGTACAGGACTGGGATAAAATGAGACAGTGACTCAACAAAACAATAATTTACTGATATGGCCCAGACAGAGACCATATGGAGGAAGGTAGACACTTTGAACCACTAATGATTGTGTTGCTCACACCCGACAATTTGACTCTGTGCCATGTGGAGGGTTCGGACCAGGAAGCAGGTACAGCTCTTTAATAACAACAGGGGAGACGCGCTCATTTTTGTAGATTTGTAGGGATTTATGGAGGATTCCAAATCCAGTGGAGCAGATATTACAAGTTTTTAGAAAAAGTCTTCAGGCTAACATTCTTCAGCTTATGAGAAACGACAGCTCTGTTTACTTTGTGAAAGAGGAAATCATCAAATTAATAATATTCTTCTCTATCTTTACTGTATGAGCAGTTCAATGGTCTCTCTGACTGTGCTCCTGACATGAGATGATTTTGTTTTTCAAAAGATCAAGAGCAGTGTACTACACACATGCTGAAATATTGAGGACAACAGCAATAAGGTGCTCCACAAATCCTTTCTAGCTTTGAAGGAAAGTTAATACATCAGTTCAACATGTTGCTTTTTCTCCTCCTGAGAGAATTCAATGAACATGATAAAAAAACAAAACATGGACAAATTAATCCAACACAGGCTCAAAGGTCACACACAGCTCACTTTTTGTGGGCAGGACAATATGTTTCATGAGCTTTCAAACAGAGCAGTGATTAAATATTGCATGTGTGTGGGTGTCTTACGGAGCTTTACAGTGAACTCACACAAATAGAAATGTAATGTTCGAAAATGGAGTAAATTAACAGTAAAAGTTGTAAAGGTTCTAATCCTCCATACTTGTGTCAACTGTTCTGTTGTCTCTTGTCTATACCTCAAATAACTCAAATAAATAGTTTTGGAGAATTTGTTTATTATAATCCTTTATTCTGTCTGAGAGAATATTTTTGTTGGGTTATCTTGTGCTTGGGGCCGCATATAATAGATTTATAAAACCAAATGTTATTTGCACAACTGGTTAATTCCACTTTATATATATATCTTCCAAGAATTATTTATTTATATATGACCCACTTTCTATGAGGTAATGGAAACTAGTGCAGTCCCTGTTCTAAACCTGCCTGTGTGGAATGGGCTGTTTTCTTGTCCTGTGGTGATGCAGCTTTCTTTCTGAAGCTGTAAGTGACCTGCAGTAATTAAGGCAAGTAAAGACCTGCTGCTGGGCTCAGATCACAGAACCACAGAACCCTGGAGCTCCACCACTGCTGCTGCACAAAGAGCTGTTCACCTGTTTATTCAAAGTTTGACTCCGCACACAGAACCGATGAACTGGAGTATCAGGTGTCGTTTAACGTTGTCACAAACACGCTTTTGTCATGATCGACATCTTCACTTACGTTGATGAGTTCCAGCGGCTGCTGCCACAGAGGTGCTGGTGGTCTTTTTATTTAAGGTTTATTAATATATTGTGTGTCCAAATCACACCAAATTCAACACACATGTTGTGTGATGGTGATAGATGGATTAGAGAGCCACATACAGACAGACAGAGATTTCTGGAATTATTAGATAGATATATTTGACAGGAATTTAGAGATGCGTTTTTTCTTTAACTGGAAAAGAGAATAACCTTTGAGAAAGATTTGTTCTAAACCTAGTGAAAATGTGTAAAAAAGAAAGGAGCTGAGAAGACAGTGTCACCCACTGGTTGTCGTAGGTGTCCCCATTGTAGGAGCTGCTGTCTGCCTTGGCCGGCGGGTATGAGATGACACTGTTGACCGAGGCGTTGAGCGGCCCGCCTCCCTTCTCAGACACCAGCAGGGTTGGAGCGTCTTGAACACTGCGGCTTTCCTCCACATTGTTCACCTACAGCAAGAAGGAAAAAACAGGAGGAACAGACTCAGCAAACACAAACAAACAATCGAAAACACTCCCAAGGAGACAGGACACACACCACAGGCTCGTTTTCTGACTGACATCCTGTTTTAGAATCTCCTTCATTTCCCTGGTTGTAAACTTGAGGGGGTAAGGAGAAAGTGTCTCTACGACTGGGATGGAAGTTTGGTAATTAGTTCTTAAAGTTGGAGAGAGCTGTGAGGCATATAATTGGAGCGTGGTTCAACTCCTCGTTGAAATGTGGCTTATCTGCTTGATTCACAGAGCACGAAAAGGTCATGAGAACGAAAACAAAGGACGACTAAAGGCTAACTGAAAAATGCACATACATGAACCACAAATAAACCAAAATCTTCAAGAATATCATAAAATATCATTGATGTTTTCCTATATACAGAGTTTCATTTAGTTTTTTTAATCTGTTTCTGACAGCCTTCTAACCTAAAATAATGAATCCTCAAGATATAATGTACACAGAGAAGATGATGAAGAATGATTAGAGTTTTGCTTTCACTTCTTTTTGTTATGCTACGTCTTCATGGACACCTGCAACGGATGAGCTCCTCCTTTCTTCCTTCAAACAAAAAGGAAACGGTGTCCGTCAGATAAATACTTTTGCCTAAACCCCTTCCTGTGAGGTCAGACGGCCCACACAAGGGAATTCCTCACAATGAAGGCGTCAGGGGTGGTCACTGTTTTCCTGCAGTAAATTTATCAATCATTAGCTTCCTTTACCAAAACCTCTGAACAAAAGCAGGAGAGTCTAAACTGAATTGTTTCTCTGCAACCTGGAAGGCTGACTGGTTTAATATTAGCAGAAAGTTTGAAGTTGTGAGGCTCTTCTGGGTGAAATATATCTGCCTTTGCACATGAAATGCAATTTTTTTTTTTTTTAATGTGATTTCTTCAAAAAAACATCAAAACATCAATCATCAAATCTGTGCAGGAGTAAAGTGCAGGATTATTTTCCTCTGGAGATCTGACCTCTACTGTCCTTGCACAGGGACGCATGGATATTTGCTGTAACTTCTCTTAATCAGTATCCAGCTCAAGCCACATGGCCACAGACTGAAACGTTTCTCTTGGGCACTAGTAAGAGGTGAGAGTTTATTGCTTGACAACGACGCACCAAGACAAAACATAATTTCTTCTGCTTTCTTCGATGATGCTTTACTGAGAAACTCCTAAATTCCTCACGATGCAGGAGCAGATCAGAACGTCAGCCTATCCCTCTGAAAAACAATATTCGCTGTAGGTGGAGTGTTTGGCTGCGGGAGAACCTCATTTATCTCAGTTCATGTAAGAATCCCAAAAATGCCCTCTGAGTGAGCGGCACAGCAGCTGCTGAGTATTAGGCACAGAGGTAACGTGTTAAGAGTCCTGAACCTGCTGAAGAAAGACATTGAAATGAAATAAACTTGTTTATATGGACACAAATATTCCAATATTAAGACAATAATCTGAATAAGACTATGCTGATTACCTTAACCCAAATAAGGTCGAGCTCACAATAAGCAATAATTGAATTAAGAAGTGGAGTATTCCGTTGTTAGTCACATTATATAGACGTGTACGTGTTTCATATTCTAACATCCTATTGGAGTTTTTACAGCATTTTGTGACATCGACACAGCAGTTATCATGCTTGATGCATGAGGTAGTTTTCATAATAACACTATGCTCTTTACCAGGTAAACAGGAATGTGCTCCATGACTGTTTATATTCTATAAGCATCTCATGTAAACACCATAATCTAAGTATTACTGTATTCAGTATCAGGTCAGTAGTCAGATTGTTGTTTAAATTACAATTGCATAAATCATTATTGTATATTTTCCTAAAAACAACTGGAAGTACTCTATGATAATGGAATAACTGTAAGTATGACAATACCTTTTCAAAGTATCATAAAACAAACACAAGAATCAAACCAGAGACATTAATGTCTATGAAAAGAATCCAGGATGCTTTTACATGTGTGCAGCACTTCAGAGTTTCCAGCGCACTGCAGAACCCGACTCTGATGAGCTCATGCAGCAGACACAATGCACCCCACCACCACCCCAACCCCCGTCATGGGTGAACTGAATAAGGCCAGTGTGTGAGGTCATCAGAGCGAGCCAGGCCTCCCCGAGCTCAGAGACGGGTCAAATCTCAAACCGACCACTGCCTGAGACTGTCACAGGCCAAACCAACACCATGACTCATTCTGTGGCACAGACTCAGGTGGAAGATGGAAAAAATAACCCCAGCAAGGTGGCAACCCTTCCACTCAGAGCATTGTTTGTTCCAAGGATATTACACGTATGTCGGCCCTATGGTTAACATGATGATATAATAATGACACACTAACCTGCTTTTGTAGAGATTCACGCCTATAGGCAGTAAAGTTATACATGTTTCACAACCTGCACTACATACAGTGTATATAGTACACACTACAACCAGGGCAGAAATATCAGCTGATGTGAGCTTTTTAAAGCTTGTTAATGTTTGCTGACATGAAAACCTTTATTTTTCTATTTTTTATCTATCTGCAATGACAGCCATCTTTTCCTGAACCTTCATAATCCTGAACATATTTTTTTTCGGCTGTATTTACGTTATAAGTGCTGAGCTTCTAGGCGTAGAGTTAATTACTGCAGTGTAACACAATAAGTGTGATGACACCAGGGAGCATGGCTCCATTATTAGACACTAGAGCGAGTCATAGGATTCACTCTGGGCTTGTCTCGTCTACTCTGCCCTGCCTGTACACCTCTGTGTGCATGATGCCATGTTCCAGACGACGACAGCCACTCAAAAACAAACAGCTCTATATAATCCACATAACACCATGTCTGTTTGGTGCCTCTTTTTTTCAGTTAGAATTAGAATTAATCATAAGTGTGACTATGTGCATGAACACAACAAAAAGAAATACTCTTCAGATTGATGATCCATTTTTAAAGATACAAACTCTTCAGAACTATTTTTATATAGATACAGATTAACTTGAGTTTCTAACTTAATTATCTCTTGCTGTTTATGACATCAGTTAAATGTTAAACCTAAGTTTTTGATGTCAACGTATTATCACTCAACGTATAAAACTGGCATCATTTAAAGAGAGTTCAATAAACAGCCTGTATCTCAGGTAACAGCCTGATATGACAGGAGTGTTGTTGACATTTGAAAACCCAAAGGCAGCCTCTCTAGAAACCACCTGCGTGCTTAATATCTTCTCAGGTGGTTAATGATTACTCAGAGTGAAACCAGGAGGTAGGCCATGAGCAAACAACCTCCGACTGCTATCAGCCCTGACCCTGAACAAAGTGACTCAGTCAGAGGAAACGCTCCGACGACAGTTCGACTATTTCCCTGGTGGATCCCATAAAATGATAAGGATCAATATATATATGACACACTTATTGGACTTTGAGCTCATAAAGATGGTCGATGAAAACATATGAGAGATGTAAAACTATTGCAAAACATCTCAAAGTCTATCTGAATGTAGAGCGTAGGTTTATCTTAAAAATAGCATTCCATGAGACAAACCAATCATGGCAATGTGCAGGTCTCAGCTCGGCTATTTACTACATCTGCATCACCACAATCACCTAACCTGTCGTTACAACTGATGACTCAAGTGACTCACTGATGACCTACCTACTCACCTTCTTCACACCATAAAAAATGCCAAGCAACTATTTTGAAAACTGTCACGGAATTTTGTCACAGACGGCTGAATCGTCAGTGCACAAAAAGAACAAAAAAACACTGCATTCGATCATTTCATCATCTAATCAAATCTGTCCGAGGACATTATAATCAATCAAACTTCCTTAGGCTGGATTTAAACTCTTGTTGCCCCGGTTTATTCGACCTCAAATGGTGCGTGCAAATGTGATTTTTCTCTGTAAATCCCATATAAACCCAGTCTTATTTAACAGTGGCCATCATTTTGTTCTCTCTTACCCATTCCTCCACATCTCTGCCCTCCGAGCCCTTCCCTCCGACCAGAGGCTCCTCCCAGTAGATGTTTGGTTTACCGTAGCGCCAGATCTTTCCCCTGGTTTTGTGTGCAAAGAAAGCTGCAACACCCAAAGCGATTACGACCAGGAATCCACACACCATGGCAACTCCCTAAAAATAAAAAATAAAAAACGTTGGAATGAAATTTGTAAAGTTCTCAAGCAGATAAGCTCAGAGATAAAGCTGCTTTATCCTGGTACAGGAGGTACACAAACGCACATGATGTCAGTGGGGGAAACATACATCCCACTTGTGTTCTGAATGTTCTAGAAATATAACAAATGGTTCAGGACAGATACAATTAGTGCACAACTACTAATACAGGAGGTTGTAATACACCTTGTCCACCAACTGAATACTCATTATTCATCTAACAAAAGCTAATCCTACACATGTTTACTCCAATGAGTTACATTATACAAACAAAACATGAAATAATTTAGGTCATGTTATATGCAAATAAAGGCTCATTTAACATAAACCTAAACAAATGGAGCACAATTAATTGAAAATAATGTTATCAACATCAAATAAGGTCAGTGTTGGACTCCTCCATGTAGATGACATTGTTCTGGGTATTGGATTAATCCTAAATCCATAAAACTACAAACCTCCTGTGGGTCCACGAAGCAGTAGTGGTAGAGGTACTGGTTGTAAATGGGGAAACCTCCAACTCCTCCCATCTGTGAGTAGCCGCTCTGGTACAGGTTCTGGCACATCATGAGCATTGGATTGTACATCATACTGGTGGAGCCCTGGGCCATGGGGTTCACTCCGACGATGTAGACAATGTTTATGATGCCCTGAGGAAGAGACAGTACAGTTACAGTCATATTTATATTTCTAAATATGAAAAATTAGATGATATCATTATATCAAACAAGTGAACCTACTGTAAATACAAAGAGCTTTATTTTGGACTAACAAATGTTATTAACTCATGTTTTACATTTGATCTGTAATAAATACTTTAATCAGATGGAATCAACTGAGGTCATCATTAAACTAAGTTGACAAACTGTTCCAACTGAATGTGGCTCACCTGCAGAACAGCCATGATGATGCTGGTTATCAGGAGGGCCAGAAAGAACTTCCTGCTGCGGACTATGTTGGATTTAGAGAAGCTGGCAATGAAGAACGCCAGTGCTCCAATGAAGTTAATGGCTGCCAAGGCGATCATGGCGGCTTTGGCCGAATAAGGCGAGATGTAAGAACCTTGGTGGTTGCCGTAGCTTCCGTAACCTCCATATCCTCCATATCCTGAACCGTAGCTGCCCCCGCCGTATCCACTGCCGTAGCCCATCCCAGAACCATAACCCATTCCCATACCATATCCATACTGCATGTCCCACATGAGAGTGGAAGCCACGCAGGCAAATATGGCCACACACAGCACAATCACCGTAGCCATCATGGCCTTGATGATGCCGGGAGGCGACACCCATTTGTAGAAGTGCTGCGGTTTGTCCTCGATGTAGTACGATCCTGGTGGAGGTGGGTACGCATTGTACTCGCTCTGAGGGCCATGGAAGCTGGCTGCTGGGCCAAAGCCGTTGTTGGATGGAGGGGTGAAGGGAGGACTGTAAACAGGCGGACTCCCGTAGTGCTGCTTGTCGAACATCTCTCCAATGATCCCAGGAACTGTAACCAGAAACAACCAAAACAAGAAGGGTTTGTGGACAAGCAGGAGAGAGGTGCACTGCACGAAGCTGCGGAGAGCTGCCTGCCTTTCAGCAGCCCTGATATGAGCAATAATGTTACGTAGAGAGATACGGGAGAGTTAGGCGTGACCGTCTTTAGTAACGAGGCTCAGTAACAGAACTGTGTAAATGTTTTACCATTTCCAGGGGAGTGTGATTTATGAGGTTAAGGCTGTTTGTGCAATTTTCTCTTTCTGTCAGGTAAAGTAAATTAGATTTCTCACGGATACCTGCTTAACAGTAAATAAAAGAATTAGAGGAATGACCTTAGCATTGAGGTCTCTGAACCAGACAAATCAGAATGACTGTGGGGATGTCCGTACCAGGACGGAGAGCGCTGCCAAACAACAATACTTTCATTTTTTGCCTCTTCACAGGCTCTAGGAGTCTCTCCCTCTCTCTCTCTCTCCAGCCTCCACGATGTCCAGCCAGACTTTGAACACTTCCAATCCCTCGCTCCTGCTACACATTTTGTTTTCTTTCTGTCAGATATCTTATAGAGAAATGTCCGAGGTCACAGTGGATACAACTTAACAACAATGCCCATTCTTCTACACAGAGCTCTACAGGGAGTGGGCTGCCTACATGTTGCAGTGAAAACAACAGGGAAAAGTTACTGTGGAGGAAAAACAATGAGAACTAAATGCCTCTTTTACCTTGTTTTCTTACTGTAATCTCAGCCTGATAGGAACACAATGGTGAGAGCACTGTGCTTGCTCTGCTCATACACCACACAACAGGGAATCCTTGATTCACAGGCATTACTTTAAGCATTGCTTTAATAATTAATCTATCGTTTATTCATTTTTTGGTCTATAACTTGTCAGAAAACTGTGGAAAAGAGTGCAATGAACAGTCCATTCATCGATTAGTGTGTTGACTGAGACATTCGAAAGTTAAAGCTTCTAAAAAATAATCATTTGCTGCTTTTTTTTTAATCTGCAACATGAACTGATTTGACCTAATTCTTGTTATTAATATTGTAATCAGTGATTCTGCTTAACATTTGTAGATTTTTTTCTTTTATGACTTGTTTTTATGGATTTTGTAATTTGTGAAACACTGTAACTTTGTTTTGAGAAGTTTTATATAAATATAGATATTATTATTATTCAATATAGTGGACTGGACAAAATGAATCATTGAAATGTCAATAACAAAATGACTAATAGAGAAATTTGACAGCTTAAATTAAAAAACAAGTGTTGCAGCCCTAGATTCTTCTTTTCTAACTCCAGCTGTAGTTACATAGAGCAAGGACGTTGTGTTTTCACCCCTGACTGTTTGTTTGTTGCATGGTTGGTTTGTTTGTCAGGGAAGAAGCCGTTAGATTTCTTTAATATTGTGAGATCAATTTTCCCTGATTTTCCAGGGATTCATTCAAGGATCTTGATGAGACTGATATCTATGAATCTGTGAAAGCTGGTGCAGCTTGATTGATTTTAAGTGGACCATTGGGCCTTGGTATGCTGACAGCACTGAGGTATGCTCTCTACTGAGTTCCTGTCTAGTCAATTCATGAATTACATTGCGAAAGTTCCTCTTCTACTGTCTGTCCACCACTGGCACCACAGGTCTTTTTTTAAACAAAGCCACTTCTTTCTGTCCTCTGCATCTTTCAGCTCTGTGAGACTTGTGAGGGAGGTAATGTTGGAGATGCCCAACCATTGAGAGGCTCAGACATGAAGACAGAGAAAGTCTCTGGCACTGCCCACAAGTCTACAGTCCTGGGTAATAACTCCTCTCTCTTTATGGGGGTCTGGCACATACAGCAGCAGAGGTCTCGCCTCAGAGCCTCCATCCTAGACACCTTCCCATTATTCCCTCCCCTCATTCCTCCATATCCTTCATCCCCTTCACAAACCCCCTCCCTCCATCTCTCCATCCCTCCATAACTTCTTGCCTTTGTTTTGGGAGCAGGAGGGGCAAAAGTCAAGGCTGCTCGTCACGGGAACAGTGTTGCCATGGAGTAAGAGTAGAAAAAAAGAAGAAGGAAAATTGGGGCACTGTCCAGGGAGGATCAAACAAGAGCTCCTCTGTGCTGCTGCAGAGTGGAGGGAGACGGGGGAGAGACGGAGAGAGGGGAGGACAGGTGGATGGGTGTCAGGTGTCCTTTACTGTTGATCAGCAGAAGGTCCCGCAACACACTGGGTCTTATTTACTACTGCAGTGTTATTATATCGCTGACTGGCAGGAAACAATCTGAGGTTCAAGGTCTTTCCAGGCAAAGTAGTTCCAGTGAGGAAGAGAAGGATCTACTTTCCAAGACCTCACAACACTGTAAAACACTCCCTTCAGTAAATTTCCACTTTATTACATTGGGAAATCTAAAATATTTCAAACCCAATCCTGGCTCTTGTTCAGGTCCTCAGAAATCAGTTTTAAACCAGCAGGAGCTGCAACACTGTTATAAACACTTATCAGGCAAAAGTGGAGACGTGATATTATAGCTTCAGGAATTCTGGGTTTTCTTGCTTCTTATTGTTGTAACATTACTAGAAACTGAATATGTTTGGCTTTGGAAATATTAATTACACAAAACAAGAGATCTGATGATATTAAACTGGGGTGTTTGGAAGTTAGATGAGCAGTTTCAACTTTTTCAAATATTGTATGGATAAACAGAATAACAATGAAAATCATCACCTGGACAAGAACAATGTACTTGTGAATTATTGGGGATATTTGCTAATTGGGGGGGAAACCTAGTGTATAATTACTCAAAGTGACTGCTGAATAATATTAGCAAAAGTATGCGTAACAGTAAGAACAGCAGGAGCAGTAATAGTAGAAGTGGTTATAGTAGTAGTAGTAGTAGTAGTAGTAGTGGCAGTAGTACAGTGGTATTTGTCTAAAAACTGGCTCACAAATCTGTTTTTGAAGCTGGGCACAGAGTTGAGAGGACGACAGTCACAGGTCAGGTCAGACACCCACCAGCCACAGCCTCAGCTCAACTACAACACAGAGACTCTATCATCGGCTGCCGATGAAGGAATTCCAGTCACATGTCTCACATCTGTCAAAAACAATTAGGCCCCTGCCCCATGTTGACTGGACCCACTGGCATACACACAGGAGTCAGCCAAGACTTCCTGCCCCCCCCCAAAAAAAAAGCAAGACAGACAAAAAAATGAATCTTAAAAAACTAAACTCATTAGATCCTGTAGATAAAACACAAAGGTTGGTGTGAAATGCAATCACACAAAACTAAAGCTCAACTCACTATCACAGAAACAGAAAACGTTTAAAACAAGTGTTGTGGTTGTTTTGTAGACGTCGCTGTGTGCAGCTGTTGACTTGTATTGAAATGCATTTTAACAGTTTGCAGAGCTGAAGCAATTAGTCAACTAATCAATTAGTCAACTAATCAATTAGTCAATCGACAGAATATTAATCTGCATTAAATGTTACATATTTTTTGCCCATTTTCTTGAAGTAAACAAACAAACACTGTTCCAACTTCTCAGTTGTTCAAGCTGCTGGTTTTGTTTCTCTCCTACAACAGTGATCACATCTGTGTGTTTTGGACTGTTAATGGAACTAAGACATTGTGAACATTAAAATAAAACAATTCATCCAGAAAATCATCAAGCAGCCTTAGTATTTGCATCCACCTAATGCCAGCTGAACATTATAACCTTCATGAGGGTGTTGGATTTACTGCAGGGCTGCTGTATAAGAGGTGGCTGGGTGTCCCTAATAAACTGACACCTGAGTGTAATGAATCAGTCCTTACAGCAGCTAAAACACAGAACTGCACTTTAGAGACATTCATGTATCCTGGTCATTTACAGATACAATATAAAGTGGTAACAACACTAATGGATGAAGAGTAGTTATTTCTATGTTATGTTTTAAACTCATCTTCTGAACATCTATAAATTGTATTTCTAACATTTCTAACATCGTCTTTTAACCTGAGCTTGAGTTCCCTTTCCCTTGTGGAGCACTTTGGCTCGACTCCTGCTGTTCTTCACGTTTTTAATTGTGACTTGAAATGATTTCGCTTTGTTTACCTTCAACACCATCATCCAACCAGACACCTGAGCAGATTACAGGTGGGGAATGTTGAACATGTGTTTTTAATTGGACTGTGGGGTTAACTTCTCTTTTCTTTGTTGATGATCGCAGGTTCAAATCTGATTTAAACGTATCTATGCTGCATTATTAGAAATTTGAAACTGGGATGCATCATATGCTACACTGATAAAAAAAAAAAGACGATTACTGTTCGATTCTAAAGATTGTCTCGTTGCGCTCCGTAAGATTAAATCGGGAAACAATCGGGAAACAACGCGAGATCCACCTGTTAGTGAACTTAGAGACGGACCGTTATTAAAGCCTCAGTGTGAGGCTGCTGACACTGACTTTAATAATTCACATGAAAAGACTTTACAGTTACTGAAACATCTTAAAGTCTCGTGTTACCTGAGAAGAATCCAAAACTCAAACTGCGGCTCGTCCCTGTTTCCCGTGAAAAGTGTCGCTGCGCGGAGGAAAAAGAAAAGTCCGTAAGAGAAGAGTTAAAAAAAAAAACAGTTGGAGAATAAAGATGGAGGTGAACTCTGTTTAGAACCAGCGGAGAGAACCAGCGGAGAGAACCAGAGGAGAGAACCAGAGGAGCCGAGTCTCCGCTCGAAGCTCCGAACACACACTCGACGGTTTCCGCTCCGGACGAGTGCTTTGTCCCGCCTGTCCGCGGTGATGAGGCCCCGGTGGACAACACCTCCACACTGCCGCGCTGCCGCCGCCGGGGGTCGCCCTTTACACGGTCAACCCTCCAACATTAGAGTAGTAGGACCCCTCCAACATTAGTGTAGTGAGACCCCTACCCCTCCAACATTAGAGTAGTACTACCCCTCCAACATTAGTGTAGTAAGACCCCTCCAACATTAGAGTAGTAAGACCCCTCCAACATTAGAGTGGTGAGACCCCCTACCCCTCCAAGTGGTAGGACCCCTGACCCTCCAACATTAGTGTAGTAGGACCCCTCCAACATTAGAGTAGTAAGACCCCTGCCCCTTCAACATTAGAGTAGGAAGACCCCTCCAACATTAG